GGCCATATTTGGAGCGTTGCAAGATATATTGGGTAGTCGATCAGTGTCCAGAGACTACTACAACCAGACAGGCCGCATTCCTGACTGGTGCTCCCTCAGCAGCCCTCCACCAGAATCACTGTATGACCCTGGAAAGACGCCCCCACCACTCATGAAGCGGGCCTTCTCAACGGAGAAATAATCCACAAGTCTCTTTTTCTGAGACAGTGAGACAGATATTTAGTTACAGCCTCAAAATCCATGCCTCCTACCTGACCTCTTTGTCTTTCGTGTCTCTCAAAAATGGTTATGTGTAGCCGTTGCATTTTATTTGTGGTTTTGGAGTAACATTAACCAAAATGACCAACAGCAAGAAGAAGAGCCACTAGGGGGCAGTCAGTATCACAGTAAACTCTGTGTGAGAGCTATTTGTGATCATTTCTCCTGAGCTTTGTGGCACAGACGTTTGAGCAAATTATTAAATAATGAAAGTAAATAGAAAAGAACTTGAACACTCTTTAAGCTTCTTAGCATATGAATCCCCTGCAGTGACTGAAATACGGTAATTCTGTAGATATCACAGTTGAGGATTGTGAAATAGCATTGTTATTAAGAATATTTTTCATTGCATGTGTATTTTCACTGCTTTAGAAATTGTTGCATTGCCTAAAGACAGTTACTTATGTTTAATTTATTTACATTTCAGACAAAAAATACCAAAAAGATATTGACTCGTGTATATTAACAAAAATAAACATTCCAAAACAATTCTTTTTGGTGTCACTTACCTTCTTTTAAAAATTAAATATTCAATTTCAATGTTTTATGTGTTGTTCAGTTTTACCATTGTGGTGTTATACATTTCTCAAAGACGAGTTAAGATTATATCATCTTGACAGGGGAAAACTTTAAAGCAGTGTTGTTTACATGTCTGTCATATAGATGACAGCCAGTGTAATAGGTGGTTGCTTTAAGGAAGTTACCTTTGATCTACACACGCCTCAAGTTTCAGCAAGTTTCAGCACTCTCTCCCTACTCTCCCTACAGACCTTAATCTGTATGTGCCTTATGTCACTTTAGTGTTAATTTCAGGACCTTCTATATTATTTTTTTATTATTCTATTTTTCTACAATTAGTGTTTATTTTTACCATGTGTTTTTTTAGTGTCTATTTAAATACACACTTTTCCTGTTTACTTTCTATTTAATGTTATTGTTACACCATGGGGTCTGAGAGTAACACAATTTCAATACTCTGTATGTCCTGTACATATTGTAGTATTGACAATAAAGCTGACTTGACTAAATATTAAAAAAAATGCATTAAATTGATTTTGCTTATATCTGCAGATTAAATGTTCCTACTGCTCTTTCTTTTAAACACGCCTATTTTTATGCATTGTTGCCACATATATGTATGTGTTTGTGTATTTTCAAAGACTTCCTCTTTATCGTTTGCAGTAAACTGTTCTGGAATCTGCAGTCTGTTATTGTTCAGCTACACCCACTTTTATTGTTTGGCCTTAAATTACTGGATAGACATCATACTGACTGATTAATATAATCAATAGTGACAGTCCTAGTTTTGAATAAGTTATTTTTTTCTGACAGTTCTGTTCATGTAATGTTTGGGTGTTAGGCTATAACAGGTTCTCCTTCTGTTAAAAGGTTAAGTTTGGCACGCCTCAAGTTTCAGCAAGCTTTAGGCCTCATGGTCTGGCAAGGTCAGCTCGAGGTTTTGGAAGCTTGCTTAACACCCTGCCACATCCCTTCCAAAAGGCAACAACCTCCATTACAGGAACAAGTACATCACCAACCCCTTCTCCCCACCAAAAGGCACCACAAAGTGCAAAGACTATATACACCTGCTGATGTCCAGTCCAACCAAGAGCTGCAGGGCAAAGTTAAAGAGTTGTCTTGGAAGACTTTGTTGCGCAAGCAAAGCCTAAACAGCAGCCAGTGCACAGAGACCACCCACTTCACCCAGCAGTGTAACCGTGAAGTATGGTGAGAATGAGGTGCAAGTACAAGTGAAGCGGGACTTATTTGTCAAAATAAGCCAAAAATGGACCAGCCCCTCCCTACTTGATGGCAATGGTCAAATCTCGAACTGTACCACGAGCCCTTCGAGCTTCGAGTACAGCTCGGCTTGACCCGCCATCCTTCAAGGCGCGTGGAAGGCAAGCATCTAGACTGTTCTCTGTGCTGGCACCCAGGTGGTGGAATGAACTCCCACTGGCTGTCCGTACAGCAGAGTCTCTCGCTGTCTTCAAACGCAGACTGAAGACACACCTGTTTATTCAGCACTTAAATGAGCACTAAATTAAGTATTGATTGTACTGTATTGTACAGCACTTATGTATTGTATTGCACTGTTCTGTGTTTAACTCTGTCCCTTTTTCACTAGGTGTCAATGACCTTCTGATTCTAGCAGTATCTGAGCTTAGGACTGGCTTTCTATCTAACCTATTGGTAGCTAGCGAAGATAGACAAATCTCTGGATAGACAAAGCACTTTTTGTAAGTCGCTCTGGATAAGAGCGTCTGCTAAATGATGTAAATGTAAATGTAAATGTATTTGCTGCTGGTCGGCTGGTTAACCCTTCGTCTGTGATTTTGGGTGACTGTGCTGTTACAGAAGAGGACACTGTTGCTGGAGATCTGGTCTTTCACTCTGCACTTCATGGCTGTAACAGTTTGAAAATTGTAGGGTCTGTTTAACTGCATAAAGCTGGTTCTGTTCTGCTGTGTAATTGAGTTGTTGATCTTTTTCTCCTTTTTCTAGATCACTGAGGAGACAGTCATGTACATCTTCAATCTTGTCTACAATTCAAGTATTCCTGACATGCAAAGCCTTCAGTTCAGAATTTCTCTTAACAAAACCAGTGTTTTGGAAATGTTACACACAGTTTGGAATTCTAACCATGTATGAGCTGACAGGCAATACAATGTGAGCAACAATGCTCTGTGGCCAACCTGGATTCCTTATGTGTTTACCAAAGCAGTAGAAGATACCCTGTTTTTTTTCCTTGAGATTCATGGCTGGTTTGTATGTACAGACTTCTCATTCCCGTCACTCCCCCTAGATGTGTTATGGATCTTGTTTGCTGTTTTTTCAAAATATAGCTTGTCTTTCACCTTTGCAGATGAGTGGATGTTGGAGAGGACCTCTGATGTCTATTTTTTGGGAGACATGAATATTTAAGCATCTGTGATGCAGTTTAACCAAGTGGGCCTTTGTGTGTTTTGTGGACAATTATGAGGCAGCTGCAAGTCCTAATTTGAATGCAGATCCCCAATATACTCTCATTGAAAAATCATGGGTAAGAACAACTTCATTATGATGATGATTATTTATAATGTTGACAGTCTTTCTTTCCAGATATGGTGTTTTGCTACTAGAAAGATCTCTAACTCCAGCTTCATACCCCTGCTACAAAATGACAGGCATTCCCGTTTCAAGAAGACGCTGGCTCTGTAATTTATGAAGCCAGTGTCAGACTTTCTGAGCATTGCTGGTCAGGTACTTCAATAATGCAAGCTGGACATCACATGTCTCCTGAAGGCACCTGCAGCTTCTCTCTCCCACAGATGTAGAGTGTAGGTGTTGATCCTTCAAAACCAATCAGTATGACTTGATTAACCTATGACTCAATTAGGCATTAGTCATGTGGCTTGAGAGATGTTTTTTTTTCTTCCTCTTTCTAGTTGGACATCTGCAGATAGAGATGACCAACAGTGCAGCTGCTATAAAACAAACTGTGTATACAGTAACAGCAGAATTCTGGAAACAAATCAAGGTATGAAATTTAAGTTATTTAACTGCTGGATTTTTTTCTATTTTCCGTACGATTTCATGAATCTATAATTTCTCCACCACAGATATGCAGTGGGAGGGGAGAGCCTCCTTTGTGCTGACCTCTGTAAGTTTATAGTGTGTTGTCTATATTAAAGAATTGGATTTGTATATGTGTAGGGGGCTGCATATCTGGGCTTTGAATCGGTTTCCAGTCTGGGATTTTGTAATCACTAGTAGGTGAGACAGCAAATAGCCAATCAGTTATATTAACAGGGCCCAGTTTCCCAAAAGCATCTTAGTGTTAAGATGGTCTTAACTGGTAAAGAACATTCGCTGTGATGCTCGCTCTACCATCTAAAATTCATCTTTGTGCTAAGATGGTTTTGGGAAACCCAGCCCAGTTCAGTTAAATACAAGAGACTACAAATAACCTGAGATGTTTGACTTTGGAATTGATGACCTCTTGTTTGTTTTGTTTTTTTCCTTAAGATGACTGCTGGCTTGTTCTCATGATAATGTATGGTAAAAATTGGGCTGGTATGCTAATGTACACTGCTCTCAAATCCATTTTGGTGGTTGTGCGGTGGAAGAGGGCTCAACAAGAGCCACAGTAGAGCAGAGACCATGTGTTAGAGCTGTTCAATTAACTTCAATTATAACAGGTTCTCCTTCTGTTAAAAGGTTAAGTTTGGAAGCATTTCACTTTATTCTAATGATGGTGTTTTGCATTTGGTTTTACCACTTCAACCTATATTAAATGTAGAAAATGAACAAAGAGCACTATTTTCAAAATTCTGACAGCTGAATTCCCCAGAAGTGGCTGTTTATTACAGCAGGTCTTTCAACCCTGGACCTGGAGAATCCCTGCCTTTTCAACATGTTCCCTGCTTCAACACAACTTATTCAATAATCAGCTAATTAAATAAAAACCCTTACTGAGCTGAAGTGAGAGAGCAGGAAAACACTAAACCTGCATTCCATCACAGGGTGCTTTAGCCTTGTTCTGATGTTCCTAACACACTGATCACAGGATCATTTCAAACCCATATTTAGAATATACAAGGATGGCTCCCTTGGAAGTAAAAACACAAAATGAAATGGATAAGTAACAAAATAATGTAATAAAATGCCATCAGGAAATGGTCTGGTATTCCCAATAACTAGTTTGGATGTGCAGTTTCTTGAACCAGAAACAAACTAGCTTGTAATGCAGACAAGAGTCAGTTCAAGTTTATTTAAAAGTAGATCAGTTACACAGAGATTATCAGTTCACCACTAGAGACCACATCATCCGGACTAGTTGATGCAAATCTGAAGACGTCTCTCCCTGAAAAAGAGAACATGTTCATCAAATGGTTAGTTCAGAGATATTTACCAAGCCAGCTGAAGCACTCACTTTGTCGGTTGCATCTTTGTTCACAGGAGTCTGTTGCTGTTGAATAGCACACTGTTGTACTACAGTGGATGAACACCTGAAAGAAGAAACATTATAGCAGGACAGTGGAGTAGATAATTTAATATTGAAACCGCAGCCTCATACCCTTTCCTTCAGAGGGATCAGCGATGCAGGATCCACAAAAGTGAACATTTTTACAACGAAGCGCTTGTAATGGCTGGGGAACTGAAGGCCAGAGGAGCCATTGACCGGAACCAAGCTGGTCAGGTAACGGTCATCCTGGTAAGGGCACCTATAAAAACATCATAAGCTAAACTCGGAGCACCAGTAAGTGGGGGGAGCAAGCCAGCTTTAGGCTACATACCCATTAACTAGAAGGTCCCACTGGGGCAGGCTGAGTGGGTTAGGGTTGGATGTTGCCCAGCAGCGTTCCAAGTTCAAGACAACTTTGGGGTCAGTTCTCTCCAAAATGTGCACTTCAACATATATAGGCTCCTGCAGAACTTTTGTGACCGGGTAGTCATCCTCACTGTAGTACGAGGAGTATGCCACATCACCTGCAATGAATGACATTTACACAAAACCCTGTATTTTGTGACAAATTAAGTGCACTCATGGCTTACTTTCCACACATCCTTTAGAGGCACATTGTCCACTGCCCAGTCTAAGCTTCACTCTGAGGGGTCCAAGAACAGCGACTGGTAGAGGTGGAGGAACAGTATTGATCTGTGCAACCAGTGCCTGAACTGCACTTTCAGAGTACCTACACTGGAAGAGGAGCCTAACGAGAAAAAGGCAAAGTCAGTGGTAAATAGGTCACTTGACAACAAGCAAATAAAGTCACTTACTCAAATTGGCTGTCCCTTGTGATGAAACCTAGGGGTCCGACCCCCACCTCATAAGATGAAGTCATTGTGTTTTCATAGATTATATAACCACCTTCTTCCTGTGAGCAATAAAACAGATGACTTGCACCACTTAAAGATCATGCATCTACACAAACTACCTGAATTAATACTTACAGACACCTTCGTTCCACAAGCTGTGACAGGGAACTGATAAATTATAAAGGCACCAGTGGTTCCAACAGGGCTGCAAGAGGATTCATTTCCACTCAACAGATGGACTGAATCCAAGCTTAACTTGGGCAGTGTGGCATCTTTAGCCACCACTACAACAAACTGGCCATCTCGAATGCACTGGACAGTCACTGGCAGTATAAAATGGAAAGAAAAATGCTTCAGTGACTCTGCAGAATTCTTGGCATTTCCTAAGAGAGTAAAGTTGTTGTACTGAAAGATCCTCACCTGCCTTCCCATAGTAGCATTGTTGCCCATCAAAGCAGCAATTTATGGTTGCACATTCAGCAGCACTGATGTCAGGTTGCCCACACGGCACTTTATCAGACACATCTACAGCACATCTCGGTGAAGCTTCTGCTTGGAATACTGGCTGCTGTGACTGAACTGAATCAGGCAACTGTTGCGCATGCTCCTGAGAAGGCAAAGTTCTAGGTCTCAGGCCTGGAAATACCTGTTGTGGAAACACTACATGGCACACAGAGAAAAGCAAACATAGTGTCACCAAACCAAACATATTGCAGCTTTCTACCATTGTGCCAAGTGCTTATGTTGAAACCCTTTCATCACTGTTTATACTCTGTTGAGTAATCTTCCATAATGATGACTCCACCCCTTGATTTAATGCTTTTCAGTTGTCTCAGCGTGACTGGTAAACTAGGCTTGACTGAAGCTGTTAATCAACCAGGACTGGAAGGTGATGAGTGTTAAATGGAGAAGGTGGGGTTTCATAATTGATTGTGAAAAACATCGCACGTAGGACCTAGGGGTATTTTACAGTCAGCTGGAGAACTTTGGGCCTAAACGATCCAGCTAACTGAGAAATATTCTACTGATCCTAACTCATCGGTTAGAAGATGAAGAAGGATCTGAGATAAAAGTAAAATGGACTTTGCCCTAATTATTATTTAATGACTGTTTTTCTCTCCGTTAGAAATGTTTCCTGAGTAGAGAAAACACCTTTTCAAAGCCTTAATATTGTAAGAATATCCCTGTTTTATTAAAAATGATGCACACAATTTGGTTTAATCCAAAGTACATTTTTTACTTCAAAATAGTGGATGCATAAAAAAATGCTCAAACATAAAACTGGCATCAGTTTCAAGAAGAGTCTGATTTCTTCTTTAAAAATACATGTTCTCATTCCTGGATCCGGAGTACCATTTACCTGCACAATTTACATTTTCCCTTACTCCCACTAGATGCACCTAATGAACAAATTAAGAACCCTTCCTGAGGTGAACTGGGTATGTTAGAACAGGAAAACACTATAACATTGCAGGGCAACGGTACCACAGAACCTTGTTTGAGGACCACTGACATGAGATGTTTACGTTCTAGTGTCTGGTAAAAGTTGGAGTTTTAGAAAGTTCCTTGCTTTGATATGGTTTTAGTAGCTTAAGTCTCAGCATGACTGCAAATTCACCCAGTGCCTTTAACCTACAGGTTCCCAAACTGGTCCCAGAGCAGCCCCTGCACTGCACATTTTAGTGTTTTCATGTCATGAAGGGCTTGATAATGAGCTGATTAGTTGGATCAGGTGTGTTGGGAACATGGGAATCACCCACAGTAGGGCTGGGAGCCTCTGTCTTTAACTAAAGGTTCTCCTGTCCTGGAAAATATATTTTAGGGCCAGTTTTCCAGACCCAGATTAAACCTATGCTTGTATTAAAAAGAATTTACAATTGTGATCCACAATTGGCATTGCAATTTATTCTAAAACTATAATTAATCCATCTCTAGCAAACTGTAGTGTTTTTATGGTCAAACACACCCATTCCAACCCAAGGAAAACCAGAAGCAGGGTCAAGAACCACCACCAAAAACCATGCTGTGCTCATTCATGCAAATGTTTCATACTCGATTAGAGTTTTGAACTGAAGGTGGGAAATGTAAGCCTACATTTAAATAAAGAGATTCATAGGCTACACTAGAGTGCAAGAAGCAGTGTGCTTTAAAGTTTAATTATTGTAGTAAAGTGGTTTAAAGTTTAATTATTGTAGTAAAAAGAACAACAGAACAAGGCATTTGCCATTTTATCCCTAATTTGATTGGTTAGGACTAAGAATCCACTTCTTCTCACTCGCGTGACCTAAATCAGGGGTGTCCAAGCTCATCCTCAAAGGGACGGTGTGGAGGAATGAAAACGTGGCCACACAGGCCCTTTGCAGGTAAGACTGGACCCCCTGACCTAAACTGTCACATAAAGTGACTATTTCAATAACATGGAAAAGACTGGTCACCGAGTACATTTGTAGAGTTTGTAAACATTCATTTATCCAGACACACAAGTGCTGTGATTGCTTGCATAATGTTGAAGACACAAACTGGGTAAAACCCACAAAGAGAATTCAAAGCTGGGCCCCTTCCTGTCAAACTGACTCACTGTCAGCACAACACTGTCTTTCTCCAGTGCTCTACCCTCGGTACATCAATGTGTTTGGCCATTCAGAATGCTTCACTTAACAGGTATACTCACCAATGGCCAAAAAAACAGTGTGACAGTTCTAACTCCTACTTTGATGAAAAACCATATGGCGTCATGAAAACAATGTAAATAGCAGTTTTCAGCTGTTTTGTTGTGTAACAAAAGAACCAAACTTACTAAGACCTTTAATATAAAGGAGAATTCCACCATTTTTTTTTTTAATTATTTCTGCATAATTCAGTCCTTGACAAAATCATACAGAGTGGTTTGATCTGAAATGGTTTACTGTGGAGATCACTACAGACTTGGCTTTTCTTTACAGTGGTAGTAATAGAACCCAGGGGTCACAATGTCTGTGACACAGATGTAGCTATTTTACTTGATAGCCAAAATGACCGGTGAACCTATATGTATCTTCTGAGGTTTATATGTAATTGATGATTACAAAATAGTGGTAAATTCCAAAAAGAAAGGTTTTCTAAGTTTCAATAGGATACGTTTTTGTCCAATAACTCCCTGTATGTTTCTCTCCACCATATATGTGTATTTTAAATATATTCAAAGCTATCATAAAATCATGTTCCAGGTATCAGGCAATGTGTTAGTAGCCATTTAGTGTAATAGTTTTAGAGGCTTTAAACACCTTAAATGTCTGGTTTCTATCACCATTACTGTGAACAATTCTGACTCTGTAAGTTGCTCTAAAATGACACATCAAAGTAAATCACTGTAAATGACTTCGTTTTTATCTTAACTATTTCACTATGCAGAGACTGAAAAATTGGTGGAATTCACTTTTAACAAAGAAATGGTTTTTTGAGTGTTCTTTAGCAAAGAAAATGGTTCTGTATAGAACCATGAACACTCAGAGTCCCCTTTGCAGGGTGAAATGGTTCTTCAGATTGATTGAGATTATGCTGTATACGGTTCTATATAGAATCTTTTTGTAAAGGGTTCTTCTATTGTTACAATGTCAAGCTTGTAATAATAGAAGAACCCTTTTGGGTGCTACAATTTCAAAAAGGTTCTATACAGAACCATTTACAGCACATTCTCTGTCAATCTGAAAAACCCCCTCATAAGGCAAAGTTCTTTGAGTGTTCATCGTTCTACATAGAACCACTTTCTTTGCTAAAGCACTCTTGAGGAACATCTTTTTAAGATTGCATCAGTAAAAAAAAGCGACTCTTGTGATGTAATCTCATTTATAATTCATGATCAGTGTTGAGTTTAAGGATTAAACATACAGGCTATACGTTTCTGCCTTTAGACGAACCTGCTTATTCATAGCTTTCAGTGAGAGCTACATTTACTTTAAGTTGAAGAGTACACACAGTCTCCTCCTGGTTGTTTACATTCCTAAGCATTCTGTATATGTTCCTCGACAAAAGCAGGGCCTCCTTATCACCTTGCAGCTCCCCTAAAACATGTCAGTGTGGAATACTCCTTCATTCCACAGAGTTCTGAAAATCACTAGGAGAGTTTGTTTGTGTCTGTGGCATCAGATTTTCCTTTCAGTGAAACAAGGGGGCAAAAGGAGCCAATGATTAATGCAGCAGCGCAAAGATATGGGAGGCAGGCAATCAACCTCACATACCATCTAAGGAGGTAAATGGAAACAGAGTGCTTTTCGGAAGTGATCCATCACTGGGTAATTCTGAGGAAGGGGTGAATACACAGACCTCATGATTAAGGCTACTGCAAATCTACTTTTTTTGAAGTGAAGTGAAAATTTGCATTTCAAATGTATGAGACTGGCTAAAGTGTAGGTTTATAATAGTCTCATAGTTAACAACAAAATAAACTTTTTTTAGATAGATTTTGTTTTGAGCCAGCAAACATATGGACAGCTGACATGCTGAACTGCAAGGAAAAGTCTAGAAGCAGGCCACTGGAGGAAACCAATGACAGTACCCTATGTGATGGCCATTAAAAATGAATTACTTTAAGGTGCATAACAATGAATTATATAATAAGGTGCATTAAAAATGAATTACTTTAAGGTGCATTACTTCGAGCAGCATAACTGAGTTCTCTGAGGTTATGGAGCACCACCGAACACCTTTGGGATGAGTTGGAGAAGAGTTTTTGTGATCCAGTTCTAATCATCCAACATCTGTACCTGACCTCACTAATGATCTTGCGGCCAAATGCGATCAAATCCTCAGCGCAATGTTCCAACATCTAGTGTAAAGCCTTTCCAGAACAGGCTGTTACTGCAGCAAAGGGGGGACAAACGTCCTATGAACACCCCTCTAAACGGTGCATGAGCGGGTGTCTAAAAACTTCTGAACGTACATGCATCTTGTTGCTCTCTGATGGAAAAACTGCCAATTCAGCGTTTCATGTCACTCTTTGAAGGGTGAATTCTCTAACCCTGCAGTGGGCTCGCTCTGGCCTGTGGGGGTGAGGGATGTGGGCTTGGCCGGGTTTCCTCAGACGGCTCCAGTCTGCAGGGCGTTTTACATTAGGAGACGTTAACTTGTGGATTAACACGTGAGTTAGCCGTGCGCGCCTTCAAATCAGTTCAGTTTCAGAGAGTTACATTCCGCTTTTTTACAGTCCTCCTGAGAGGATTTCGGCAGATTAACGGGGTTCAGAGCGCGGAGGGATGGTGTTAAATACTCTTTAGCATATTCGGTCTGGGAATGACCCGGCATGCTCTCACTTTCGCCTCTTTCGCTTTGAGCCTCTGGAGAGCTGATGTTTGATTCGACATGAACAGTTTCGTCAGTCTGGCACAGATACTCGCCACGCTCGTGCTGCACTTGCATGTTCAGGTACTCTACAGTTAAAATCATTATTTATTAATGTATCTGTTTACTTATTTATATTTTCATTAGGTTGGCTCGATTAGCCTGTTATTTAATCTGTTAATGTATTATTTATTTATTCGGTTATTTATTTGATTATGGCCGTTAAACAACGTTAAGCAACACAAATTGTAAAATCATACATTTTATTTGTAAAGCACTTTTTACCGTAGACTTTTCTCAAAAGCAGCTTCATAGAAATTATTTTTTGTATTGTAAAATACAATATCGATTTATAAATTTGTTTACTTGTTTATGTTTTGTCTTTTTTTCCTCAAATAAATTCTAAAATATGTCAATTGACAGAGATGGTGTGGTGTATATGGTTCTATAAAGATCCTTTTTCAAAAGGGTTCTATACAGCACCCAAAGGGGTTCTGCTATTGTTACAATGTCAAGTTTGTAATAATAGAAGAACCCTTTTCAAAAGGTTCTATATAGAATTTATAGCCCATTTTCAATCAATCTGAGGATCCATTTCACCATGCAAAGAACCTTTAAATCATGCAAAGGGTCTTTGAGTATTCGTGATTCTATAAAGAAACATTTTCTTTGCTTAAGCACCCCTGAACCATCTTTTTAAAGAGTGTACTGGTAAATAAAAGTGAACATTGTGATGAGATCTCATTCATAATTTGTGATCAGTGTTCAGAGTTTAAGGATTAAACATACAGACTTCACATTTCTGCATTCAGAAGAACCTGCTTATTCGAAGCTTTCAGTAAGAACTAATTTACTTTAAGTTAAATATTTTTATTAAAATAAAACAAGTAAGCAAGTAGTCGAATTAATTTAAATGTGTTTAGCCTGTCACTTTTTGCACAGACTGCCCTTAATTTATGAGTCACCATCACTTTTTATCACCTAGCACCAGACTATTATATCATATCTTAACGGGAGATTAAATTTATATGGTGAGTTAATGTGCTGTTTAATCTTTATCTACGTTACTATCAAAAAGCTGGGTGTGGCTGTGGTGTAAATGGATATAATGCTCTCTTTGCAGTCTGGAATGGGAATCAATACAACAGCATTTCCAAAAACCCTGCAGTTAAATTCTCCATATGAGATATTTACATTCTGTGAGCGTCTGACGGCTATTAGTTTCTGTACAGTAAACAAGTTGGACCCATTATGTGCAATCATCTGGGTCTTATCAGGTCTGCAGTCCACAAGTCAGTGATCAGTCATGGAGTTGAACATATGCTTCTCAGTTTTACCAGTGTAAATCCTAGCTCCTGTATGTGTTGCCATGTAAATATGCTGTAGGCCTATTTTGTTTCTTTTGTCTCACAGTACAATCTGCTTTTCAGAGTGTGGCTGGGGATTCTCACGTCCTCCAGCTAATATTAGTTCCAACCCCCTAATGCCCCTCACTTATAGCAATTTGAGGTCCCACTTGCCCTAATTAGTTTACACTTTCTACATGTTTGTTCGCAAATCATCCTGACAATGGATTCGAGCCAAGTGTATCCACAGGATACACAGGCCAATACTGGGAACCCTTGAGTCAGACTCGGTTCAGTGCACAAGGACAATCAGCAATGTGACATTGTTCAGGAGGTCTTCCCCTCCCCCTTTTGCAAAATTCATTCTATTATCTCCCACTCAGAGGATGTCGGTGCTCATATACTTTCCACAGAGACACCCCGCCTCCACGAATCAAACTGCATGCACATGAAAATAAACATATCTTGTTTGTGATATTGTCCATGAAGCTCATTTCTATTGCCTTTTTTGTTTGTTTGTTTTGTAGGCCTCGACTCCTCTTGGCACACCACACTCTAAAGGTAAACTTCTTGCTCTTACATGTTCTGGGGACCAACTACCCTGCACTGCTTAAAGTCCCCGGTCCAACACATCTACTGCAGCTCACTCTGAGCAGAACCAATATTTTAAAGGGCTAACTAACATTTCCTCACTTTTTATTAAAATAAAAGTGTTTGATGTGGTATGTAAACATTGTAAAAGCTTTAAAACGTACTGCTTGTTCCCCACTCCATACAGCTCATATATGAAACTTAAACCCATTTTTAATTCATTGTTTTTGTGATGTCACAAAAACCAACATATTTACATATTGTGAGTTCGTACCATGCCTTCAACATGTGGTGGTAGTATGAGGGAGAATTGATTGAGGGAGGGGGGAGAACTGAGTTCTGGGCACCTTCTGCCTGTAGCTAGAAGGCCAGATCCCCCCTCATAGCTGTAGCAGGACTGATGCGAGGCTGAGGAACTAGGAGGAGATGGGGTGGCGGTGGGGATTGCGAACACTTCGTCACAGGAACGCAAGGTGAGGATGTGAATTTATAGGGTGTTGGATTAAAAGAAGGAGGGGTTTCAGCCATGCTCCTCCCCTCAACCTTCAGTTATAACATAACTACATATCGTCGCTGTCCAAAGAAAAACACATTTATCCATGACTTTAAAGGAACATTTCACACAATACGTAGGCCAGCTACTGTGTTCAAATAATGTAGAAAAAATGGAAAGGCAGCAAAAATATACCTGTCTTTTCAGCTCACAGCAGTTTAGCCCATTTAGATACGTCAGTCTTTAAGGCACTGTAACAGAAACAGCCTGTATAATTCTGAGGGATACAGACATTTTAGAAAATGGCCATGCAAAAATGAATTATGACTGTTTTGGGTATCTAAAATCACAAACATTAGAAACATGTAGGGTATGGGCCCTTAAACGTTTCTGTTCCAACCACAGGATAACATTTATAACTGGTAAACTGGTTATAGCAAAATTAAAAACTGGTACATTTCATTCTAGTCACAAAGACAAACACACACATACACACAAACATAGACTCTAAAACTGATCCAAAGACATTTGGAAGGTTAGGGGTTACACATATATATTAAGTTAGTAGCTTATTATAGTAGCAAGTTCTACAGTGAACCATTTCACATCAAACCAGTCTGATTGACTTTGTTTACATCTCAATAGTTTAATTATACAGAAATTTTGAAAAATCTGCATAATTCCCTTTAAAACTGTTTAAGGCTAATGCGTCGCTAAGACTGGTTCTGAGAACCTCTGCTTGTGCACTTGATATTATATACTGTATGACTGATATCAGGTCAGTGATAAAAGTGGAGTAAACTACAGCTGAAAAATATTGTTACTGTTATTGTAGTGATGCTGTTTCAGGAGGTGTGGAGTCGAAGCCTGTGTCGCTCTCTGGAGAAGATGGTGGCGGTAGAGCAGGAATACCCAGGTGGTGTGGAGCACATATTCAGTCCTGGCTGTGTGTCTCTACAGCGCTGCTCTGGCTGCTGTAACGATGAGAAACTAGAGTGCTTTCCTACTCTCACACGCAATATCACAATGCAGGTAGAGCTTGTTTCACATCTATTAGAATACCTAAAAAAATGTAAAAGTACAAACACTGTGCTGTTCAGAGACATATTGCTCTCTGACGAATTCAAACCCACTTAAGTTATCTCATAAACAATATGATGTGTAGTATCTATGAGTGAGGTACTATGGTGCTATATACAGTACTGTATATATGTATATATAGTCCCCGGGAAAACCAAGTATCTACAAAATAGTAACTTTACAGGAGAAGGCAAAAATGTTCTTAATGTACTGTAATTTAAGTTAAAGATGTTGTATTCTAAGCAATTTAAAAGTCTATTGGTCCAATCATAATTTTAACACAGTGTAAAAGACAGCTGCCATGCGCAAATGATACAGAAAAGTAAAAATCCAAGACAATAGATATACATATTTTTCTCTGGACAGCAACAATATCTTAACTAGACCTGGGTAATATTCATCAGTTTATGACCATTAATATAAATCATTAGACTCATTGGATGGTTCTTTGTCACTGTATATGACAACCCCCAACAAATTTTACCCAAGGACTTTATTACAGCTAAAAAGTCGAAAATTAACTGGGAAATTTGACTACTGTATCCACTACATCCAATACAGGTTCATTCTGCTCTTCCCTGCTTTCGTTTTAGCTGGTGAAGATAAGCCCAGCACAGAGGACCAGGCAGTATGTGCAGCTTTCATTTTTAGAGCACCACTCCTGTGAGTGCAGGTATGGAAACCAAGCAGCTCTTTGAGAGAAGCAGCTGTGTTTTATTGAGATTTACTGTTGTGAATTTTGTCACTGATGTCATGCTCTTTCTTATTTTAGACCCAAAAGGAAACATATTAGAAATCCGAGGTGAGTTTTTGTTTGTTTGTTTGTTTGTTTTCATCATCTATTCCTGATATCTAATCCAACTAAACCAGGTTGGTGGAATAACTATGACTATTTCTGCCTTTGCAGCCAGAGGTTTAGTAGCCCACACAGGAGAAGAAAAGGAAAACGGGGAAAGAAGAGAACAGCAAATTGTAGCAGGTAAGCTCTGAACTGCCCTCTGCTGGCCGTTAAAGACACGAGTTAGTTGAAAAGGAAATTCTAGTCCTCGCGATATAAAGTCAGTTAGAGTGGTTGGTGCGACATGGTGGCTAATCCACGACGCGAGTTTATAAAAGCCACGCTATTCTGAATTAGCTTACTTTAGCCTCCCAGTTCACTCCAGGCTCAGTGGGCTCCACTAACACAATCCAGCTGCCACCTGTTCGCGCTAATTCAAATCGCAATTCAGTAATCGAGGCTCACCCGCGTGCCCGCGATACTTAAGCAGTTCGGACAGTCGAGTGGAGATACAGCGATATAGCAACTTAAAGGGCAATTCCACCGATTTTTAAAAAAATGTGCATAATTCCGTTGTTGCGATGTAAACAAAGTCATTCAGAGTGGTTTGGTGTGAAATGTCTCGTTATATAGAAAGTTACCAATTCACATTTCTTTACAGTGATGGTAACCAGGCCATGTGTGGGCTATATCATAAATATAGCCGTTGTATTTACTGTCCAAAACCTACACGTGAACCTACACGTGCCTTCTGAGTTTTTGTTTGTATCGCTGATGATGTTAAAATGATGGGGTGATGTTAAAAATAGGTTTTCTTTGTGGACCATTTTGGCTTCTAACACAATGTATGTACATCTACACCATGAATGGATTAAAATAAATGGATTAACAAGATGTTTTAGGCCAAAACTTTATCACAAAACTATTGTAAAGCAATGTCTCGGATATCAGACAGCCTATATCTAACCATTGTTTGTAATAACTTACTGTGAGGGAGTTTTTGGAGCAGTGGTGCCCAATCCTTGTAGATCCAGTTTGCGGAGTTTAGCTCCAACCCTAATCACTCTAGATTCAGGTAATCAAAGCCTTCAGGGATATCTGACTATATGAGCTAGGTGTGTGGGATCTGAACATTTCAGGGTGGTAGATGTCCAGACCAGGATTGAGCACCCCTGTTTTAGAGGCATTGAACTCTTCAGACGTTGTGGCTCCTATCACCAGCACTGTAAATAATTCTGACTCTGTAAGTTTCTCTGCAACGGGGCATTTTTCACACCAAACCACTCCGAATGATTTTGTTTACATCTTAACCACTGAATTTTGTTTCCCTCTTAAAACAGCACTGAAAAAAAAACAAAAATATTATTTAAAATGTTTAAAGAAGTTTAGTTTGTTTACGGGAAGGGAATAATACTTAATAAAAATAATACTTAACAATTGAACATAACACTTGAAGTTTATTGTATAATAGATTACAAATGTACAGAATTATATGCACTGGAGAAATGATTGATAATTTATAATTCAGGTGGTGATATTCATTATTAAACTCATTTTTATTCATTGTCCCATTTAAATGATGAAGTTGGAAACAGCATTTGTAAAACACACATGGCAGCAGGTGAAGGTGAACCATATCAGAGTGTAAATCTAGATAATAATTTTGTACACAATATCAATCGATATGTATGGAACCCAAATGAAAATTACATTAGATTTTACATCTAACCAAAATGAAGGCTGTTACTGTCTCTGGTGGGGTGGGGGATACTGTGATAGACCTGATTCAGTGCCCCATCATTTCATCATGCAGAAATCTTCAGACATTATTCTCCCCAGGGAAAAAATCCAATTATGGGAAATGTCTTGACTATCCTGATTCTCCTCGACATACTCGGAGTTTGTAAATGCTGTAATTGTGATTGTGACATTGTGATGACTGTGATGTTCCCCAGAGACCCTCTAATGTTCAGTAGTGCTAATTATCCTCTGAGAATTCAGCAGCATCCAGGACCAGCAAAAAGAAGCAGATGTTCACATGACTATCTGCTAAAAAGAAATTAAATTGTAACTGAAAATTAGAAAGCTGGAGCTGGAAATTAAGAAAACCTGAGAAGGATGTAAGTGTAAATTAGAATCATTTTGATATGCTCATTTTATAGAACATCGAGGCTTTGTTCCTGTCACAGGCTGAACAACAACACCAATAAAAAGTATTTTCCTCTTGTTAATAAAAACATACTTGTTTTAAAAATCATTGCATGTTAATTTTAGGGAGTGAATCAATGTGCCTCACAGCTCCAGCACTCATGTGATCTTTAACTGCTTTATTAAAAGATAGTTCCACTGTTCAGCTGACAGTATTAGCATCCACATTTTGTAAAATGCACAGGCTGTGTCACGGCCTCTTTGTTGGGTGATTAAGAAATGCTGCAGGTGGTTAAATCTGGACTGTAAGTGAGTAAGTGCAGGTTCTGAACAGGGTGTATGCAGAAAAACACTGCGCTTCACAGTAGGCCAGAAAATATACATATAAGAGTAACCATTACAGTTACATTTACACAGGCAATAGTGACTTATATTTTGGGGTTCTGTAATATCTTTACCTGGAAAAAAAAACCTCTGATTTAAATCACACTTATGCAGTTAAAGACATTTTTAATCTTCTCCATATTAGTGTATTGAGCCATGCTAGTTTATAATTGGCTTTTTAATAGTAGGCTATTTTTTAAACAAGTAAATATATCCCTAAGGGCAAATCTTATTAGGCCCCACAATATATTCATAATAAAATGTAGTGTATCGGACAGTATTAAGGTGGAACGTTGTTCAAGTGCATTGTTTTAACCCAGTGAGTTTATGATGTCCTTGGCTTGTCCAACAGAATTGATCAGGCTACGCTAAGCCTCATCATTAGCCTGGCGCGGAGCAGGTTTGTCCAAATGTTATCATGGTGACTGAATGGGGCTTAAGATTAACTTCTTTCTTGGAACCGAATATACATTTTCTTTGGGTACTGTTTTGCCTTTCAGCATCCTACGCATAACTATCTCTCTGCCCTGCATAAGTTTTGTACATTTTAAGTCAAAAGATTATTGCAAAACTATTGTAAAACAATATCTCAGGAATCAGGCAACAAATTTATCACAATTTAATGTAATAATTTTCTGTAAATGTGCTTTTAGAGGCATTAAGACATCTGGTTCCTATTACCACCACTGTGAACAGTTCTGACTTGGTACTTTGGTTAAGAATCTTAAATATAACACAATCTTCTGAAAATGTAACAGCATACTAATTAAGAAACAATTAAAATTAGTTTTGATGTAACAGCATCACACCAGACAAAAGCTTAAACCATGATAGCAGGTAACTGAAGGGGTAGTCTACATTGTCTTAATGGCATGAACAGTGATTCACCTCAAGCACCTTATCTATAACAATATTTTGCAGTAGATCTATTGGAAAGTCAAAATCCCTTTAAAACTCTACTCAGACACCAGTTCTGATTAGTTAATTCGACTTTAACCTTCAAGACCCTCGTCTTAAAGGCACAGTAACAAAATTAGCTTATTTAATTCCAAAGAATAAGGTTGAAAAACAGTCATGTAGAGATTAATTATGACTGCTTTAGTATATAAAACCAGGAAAAACAATACAGTACGAGAAAAATGTATGATATGGGCCTCTTAAATCACTCTATTTATGCCTACTTTGTTTACATCTCTAAAACTACATATCCCAACAGCCCACACTCTAAACTGCATCATAGCATCACTTGTGATTGCACAGCATGCTAATGTCAAAAACATGTCTGTCTCCTTTTGGCAAAGATGTACATGAACCAATGTGAGACAATTACAGTGAATGTTGCTAACATCAACCAGTTTTCAACACTTTTTAGCATTATTCTCACTTTATTCCATTATGATAAATGGGTCCAACTCTGTTCTTGGTTCCCTAAGATTTAAGCACCCTTTGCTGATAGAGGTGTTTAGTTGCACACACAGCTTTTTGTAATCTACACAGAAACTTTTCTAGTAGAATGTGAACTCTGGACAAGCTGCACATGAGGTCACCATGCTCAATGCTAAGCGTCAGCTAGAGGGATATAAAGCCCCCCAGCATTGCGCTGTGGAGCAGTGGGACTGCATTCTCTGGAGTGATGGAGCTCCACCTAATATCTTTGGGATGAGTTGGACTGGTGTTTGTGATCCACAACTAATCCAACATCAGTACACCAGTAAGGAGGGACAAACTCCCTATTAATAGCCTTGATTTCATGAATTGTGTATATTTGACCAATACATAAATTAAAATGTTTAATGAAAATTATTTCAACATAGATTACTGCAATAACCAAAAATTTGCTTAATCTGTGATTTTGTTTTATGCAGGTGTACTAATCATCTCAGCTAATGGGAGGATTCCAGTCTCTCTCTTTTTCCATCCTGAACACAAACAACCAAGGACATGAACTCTGGCCTCCCGAAAAATGGACAAGAAGCAGATGCATTTGGGACATAAATTATTATAAGGACCTCATCTGTGTCTGGGATGATGCCCTGCCCTCCCCTGGCAATGAACACATTCTCTGGGAGGGGTAGAATGAAAACTCAGATCCCTGTAATCCTATCTGTTTTGTTACCTGGTTAATCCTTTTGTTGTACTGGGAAATGCTGTGGGAGTGAAAAAGACAAATAACTTCATCACAAGCTGAGAGATCATAAAAGTGAATACTGTGATGATGCTCAGACTTTCATTTGCCCCTTTGTTGTCCACACGCCTGGTGTTTATTAGTTATCATTATCACCCTGTGGGCCCTGTGCAGTATTTTCAGCTGCATCATTGGAATGATGTCTGAATCCAGCTGTGGTGTACGTAGCGTTACATAAGTATTATTGCAATAAATATAATGTCTTCAGCCTCATTCTGATGGCATGTTTGTGTTAAAATGAATATAAAAATGAAACATCTTCATGAAGAGGCTCAGTTTCATCCCTACTGAAAAGTCTGACGTACAAAGGGGAGTAGGTGTAGGCTAGCCAGTGGCCCTGCCTTTACTCAAAGGTTAAATTAAGGCCATGCCTCGGAACTGTTATGTAATACAGTCTTGTACTAACTGTTCCACATCTCACTTTCTTCAGGCCGTCGCTAAACGACGCCACTACGCGGTTGAACACAATGTTCTTGGACTGCCACACAGTCGTGGCGCTGTCACGTTTTTTAGCTTCACGTCTCTGGCTCTGGCCAATAGGAAAGCAGGACGATTTTTGTGGGTGGGAACAGCCAATCACAGAGAGTGACGTATATTCTCTTTCCCCTAGAGCCGTCACCAAGACTGCCCCGCCCATTTCTTCCAAAAAAGGATCGCCTTAAAACAAAGACGCCAAAAAGCTCAGGCTAGATTCGTCTATACATTATGTCTGTAAACGAGAAACACGTGATGAATATTATTATGACTTAATTCACATTGTTGGTGTCAAACTAAAGGCGGGGACGGGGGCTCCTGAATTATAATGACTCCCCTCGGCATGTGCGGGGCTGTGTGACAGGGGTGTACCAACACTACGTTACGCTCCGGTCTCGTGTACAGTATCGTGTATTTTCTCGACGAGGTTTACGTGAGCAACGAGCGATAGACTGACTGACGGAGACACACAAAAACAAGGTAGGCATGAGGAGCAGCTACCTTCGAGTTTTTCTACTGACATCACTTCTTCGTTATTGGAAGAGTTTTGTTTCGTCTAAACAGCAGACCAGACAGCGAAGCTTACGTTCGCTGCTTAATCCAGCCGAATGTGACCAATGCTAGCAAGCTCGCTAGCTAGCTTGCTAGCCAACCTACGTTAACAAGGTCGTTGACGTTACATTTCCAGCTGACTACCACAATAGGTTAGCTAGATAACCTGGCTGTATGGGCCAACGACAAGGTTAACCACCCTATGGCGCAAATATAGCTACTGAGTCTAAATCTAAAGTGTTCAGTCTTGCGCGGACAGAAAGAGTAGCTAACCTAGCTAGCTAGTTGCCAAATCCCACCCAAGCTAAAGCTAGCAAAATGGGAGCAAAGTGAGAGACGTATGCATAATTAATAAACCTCATTTTTACTTTCTCCTCAATGTATGTTCGGATAGTTCAGTCTTAAAATGACCAAGAACCTCGACGAGATGCTCCAGTTCATCTAGTAAAAAACAGTTAATCTGTTCGTGGCATTTCAACCCCCCACCGAAGTATCGTGCGGTTTATTTACCTTTGCGTTTATCCAGCCCGTAATGAGTTGGGTTATTTTAACAGTTTGCATTTGTATGCTGTAGTGGCCGTATTTTCACCAATTACAATTAGTCCTTATCCTAACATATAAACATAATCCTGATTAGAGAAATCTCATAATAAAGTACTTTGACATTCATTACTAAGAGTGAGCTGTTTTACAGTGGTTTCATGTAGGAAAGTTTTACTACCGTAGTAGATTCTGCACCAGTCGAGTCCCGTACAAAATGTATTACATAACATGAGTATTTGTTCTTTGACATATTGTTTTCTAACCACTTATCAGTTGTACACAATCCTTACACTGTGCTCAGTCTGGGAAATGTTAGGAGATAAGTTTAGTATTTCAACATGATAAATGCTGAGACACTGGTTTATGGTTAAGGTGCTCAGGTGCTCAGTACACACCCAGCCAGCAGTCTCTGGCAAATACCAATGTGCCACTAATGTAGGAATAATATGAAGATACCAGTGCATTCTTAAATTTCTTTAAAATTATCAATAATTACAGAATTTATGTGTTTTACATAACAGCACAGAAAAAGCTCTCATAATGTAATAGGGTGTTAGTTCATTTTCACCATGTGATGTCTATCTGTCAAAATAGTTAAGATAAAAAAGTCATTCAGAGTGGTTTGATGGTGGTAAGTTTCTTTAAATGAAATAATTTCACATCAAAACACTGAATCCCTTGGTTTGCCATAGTTATTGACTGCATAATTTCCCAAGCTGTGTATATCTTTGAAATTATTCAGCCAGTCTGTTTTCTTGCTGTCCAGATGATGCATTTTGAGAAACTTGACAAGTCAGGAAAAGTATTTTTCTATTCTTGGAAAGCTTTGAAGGTAGTTAAAAGTTACTGTATTTCTTTCATTGCATTATGGCAGGTGAGAGTGGTGTGACGGGGCCAAAGGGCGGAGTCAGGATGAGCTTGAAGATGAAAGATGATGGTGACATGAGGACTGTGGGCAAGTCAAAAATCAAGAGACTGGAGAAGTCAAAACCAGACTCTGAAAGGGATTCTGGTTTCTCAGGTCAGTATTAGGAAATATTTTGCGTATCAAAGCATGAGTCGTTTTCCTACTTTTTTTAGACCTTTTTTTTTCCCCCTTCTTTTTCTATTTTTTAGATGCTAGTTCTGAGCATCTGAGTACAGTTGACCAGGCGGACACAGAAGATGCAGCTCGAACATTAATACCAGGAGTGGGAGGTTCTAGGTCCCAGCCATCTCAGCTGGCTGTTATGGGGGGATCTTTCCAAAGTCTGTCACCTATGATCATCATGAACAATGTTCTTCTCAAACAGGTAAAACAAAATTCCCTTTGGTTATTTGTAAGGTACAGTGTGCCTTAATCAATAATACTTCATTTGCAGGTATCACTGTATTAAGGATAAAAAACATGGATCATTTAAAAAAGCAACCTCTTTCTGTTTTATTTTTGTAGCAATTTCTTTTCAGCCAATTTTGTTCATAAAGGGAACGTTTATCATGTGTCCCTATGGCAGATTGCTAATAAACATATTCTCACATGTAATTTCTGCCAGATCGTTACTTGTTTGCAATGCTAGCAGACCATATTAGAAGCAAATTACACATGTACGCAAATTAAGCACATGTAATGATTTTATTTGGGAGGAGTTTATGGTTACACAGTATAATGTTATTGCAGTATTGTCCTGTGCAGTACTGATAACAAGAGAAAATGCAGTATGTCACCAGGCGGCAAAGTGCGGGCCTACAGCGGCTCAGAAGTTTATTGAGGGAGTGTTTTAATGTCCATCAGAAGATAATCTCCCATTAGCACCACATTCTACATTGCTCTACTTCTAAGCAATCTGTGTTTGAACAGCTTAATCATTTATCTATCTAACTGATTATCCACCAAACTTGAATCTAATTTTTTTTTTTTTTGGGCAGCCTGGTGATAACCCTACCTCTTTGAAGCCTTGGGGTTTCAGTCCAGCAGTTGAGGTTGTTCAGCAACCTCAAGTAGTCTTCCTCCAACCAGTGGTCTCCCAGAGAGCTTCTACGTTGCCAAAAGGACCTCCTACTAAACGTCGTAAGCACAAGAAGTACCTCCCCATTTTGAAATCCTATCCCAAAATTGCTCCTCATCCTGGGGATAGTCCACGAAGTAACTGCACTAGCAGTAGCAGCAGCTCCAGCACTACTGCTTCAGTGAAGAGTTGCAGCTCATCTTCCAGCAGCCAGGATCAGCCTCATGAAGACAAGCAGCAAGGTTTACAAAGCAGTACCTCTTCTGGTTCATCAACACCAAACCACCTTCCACCATCCAGGCATCTTTCAGCATCGCCTCAGCCCCATGCAGCACTTACTGATTCCATCACTGGTAGTTCCCCTGGTGTTGAAAGGCCAGCTAGTGGAAGGCTGGAGCTTACCTCGGCACTCACAGACATGCATACCAAGGCATTACAGAACCAGTCACAAGGAGGCTCCGAGGATGGCACCTGCCAAAGCAGTGACTCTGACAACAGCATCAAGAGGAAGCGTTTCTGCAACACCTACAACATTCTCAGCAAATCAGGATTGCTGGACATTACGCTGCGCACAAAAGAGTTGATTCGACAGAATCGAAGGACCCAAGCTGAGCTGGATCAGCTTCGCCAACATACAAACCTTTTCATGGAAGCACTACAGACGGGAGACTTTCGTATCTGGAGCAAACTACAGCTAAGTATGCAAGAGGAGAGTGAGAAAGAGAAGACTGTAAACGGTGAATCAGAGACGCACAGTGATCAGTTGAAAGACACTTAAAACACAGACTCAGATTCTTAAAGCTGATATTCACATTGCCTTTCTTACTTGCTTTTGATCTTTGTTTTTCAGAGTTACAGTAAATTTAATATATTCAACGTTTGATACCTGCCAACACCTGTAATACTGAAGAAATGGAGGAGGATATAATCATTTTTACTGTGAGCAATATTTACTCTTGCTAATAAGACAAAAATAATGAAGAAAGGAGAGAACGATTTTGGTTCACTCAATCAAATACAGTCAGACAGAATCACAGTATTTGGAATTAGCAGTAGCCTTATTGGATGCACAATAGTTGGAATTAGCAGTAATATTATTGGATATATCTGGGTCTGGGAAGATAAGAGTTTTCTGAAAGTAATTTCTACACATCCTAACTGTACTGAGTTCACAAAGCATTCATAAGGGCTTCTTTTTTGCCTCAATAATATAGCTGTACTCACAAGCTAACATAATATTAGCAGTGAGATGAATGTAGCATACCAGCGGCAGAATAGCAGTTTTAAAACATCTAATCTTGCTAACACTTTAATTAGATAGATTAAAAAGATGTCACACCTAAGCAAACAAAGGAGGTTCCCTCAGGGGAGTCATGTAATAGGATGATTTAAATGTAAGATTTATTTCTTTTTTTTTTAAAGTGGAAGTGGATCTCATCTTAGCACAAGCCACTTTTTTTTTTACAAAAATTAGCAGTTGTGCCTATATTGCGGTATAGCAATTAGTTTTTTAATAAAACCAGCTCAATGCTGAAAAAAGAACCAGTGGAACTAGCATATGGTGTTATTACCCACGCCGAATTTGCTCATTCTCAACAGACGTTTGGAGGCATCAGACTTGGCACAAATTCAGATCATAAACCATCTACAATTATCCTCTGAGGCAGCTTTAATATTATCATTTTAATTGGTGCATTATTATTTAATTTAAGTATTATATCATTATTATTACCAGCCCAATTTGTACCTTTCAACTTCAAGTAGAAAAACACAAGTTAGGTCTTACGAGGGTAATCGCATTGTGGGATTTGCTGTGGTTTAAGCCAGCCGAGCCAAAGAGGTCACAAATTTCAGGACCAGTTTGACCAAATAAATTTTCATTATTGTTTTTTGGACTGTGCTTCAATATGTAAGGCATGTTTTGAATTCTCTGAATTTTCACTGGAACTGAAAGGCTAACAAGGATGAAACCTTGTAGCTGCAGATAGTTGCCAAACTGAATTACTATATTTCTTCTTTCTAAAATTCTTGCCTTAAACTAGAACAGGGGTGCCAGTCTTATTCTCCAGCTTGTTTGGAATGAAAACCTGAAGCCATTTTGGCCCATTGCGGATAAGATTGGAGACCACTGGACCAGTAGTTCCTAATCCTGCTCTTGGAGGTCACATGCTCACAGCACACCAGATCCTAACTAATCACTTCATTAACAACCCCTTACTGAGTTGAAGTGGGTGGTTTTAAAGCAGGGAAAACATTAAAATGTATGGGGCAATGGGCCTTCAGGACCAGGGTGGGGGAGCGCTGCCTTCACATTGTTAAATTCCATACAGAGTTGCCGGTGTAGTCTTCTTAGTTTTTGCAAATCATTGTTGTAATGCCATTAATTTTTCACATAGTTTCATTTACCCATCACATAAATGTAATATTCTAATGTGGCTTTAGCACATGCTTAGAAGGCCTTGTATGCTTTGTTTCTCAAGTAATACCACAAAACTATTTAGTGTAGCTTGTGTGTCCCCAGTCACCACAGGGTTTGGAAAGGTTGGAACAGGCTGTGTCTGTTTTGCTGCCCATAAATGTGTCTTGGGTGACCTGAGTAAAAGTATAGTGAAAATGTGTGACTCAAAACCTTCTGCCCAATTTTGATTAAAGCATGTAATATATTTAATGATTTTTAGATCGTAACTCGGTTGTTATATTTATTTAAATAAATCAGTCACTGCTGTCACTGTAGCTTTCTGAATCTGTTTTTCAGAAGCCGTAGCATCATGCACATTTCTTCTGTATTCTTGTTTACACAAACTAAATGAGGAAATATTGAACTTACAGGCTTAAAGTCTCATTTATAAGACATTTAGCCTATACTGTCTTCAACTTTGCCTTTCTTGCTTTCACTTTATACGACTTGAGAGGAACATGTCTTCATTAAGCGTAACAATTGTTTGAATGAAAGCTTTTTTAAAAAACAAAAAAAACAAAAGCAATATCCTTCTCCAAAGCTATCATATTGTCCAGTTTACCTGTGACCTGTTTACAGAGCAGTTGAAAATCTGGTGAAAAATGTACTGAATGACAAGTATATTTTGACATCACCTACACATATGTAAGATTTGTTCTATTTCTGTCAAATGCAGTTGGTAGGAAATTTATAATTAAATGTTCTTAACATAATATTATTAATAATATTAATAATATTATTTGGTTGTCCTCAGCATAAATACCCAGTGAAAAAAGTCTGATACCATCCATGCCAAAAGCGTGGGCCTTTGATGACCAGCACATTTGGTGCCTTTCTTGATAATCAAAAATATCCAAGGTAGTCTTTGTGAATCACAGTGCAGGGAGCAGGTGTTGGCATGTATTCATTAATGCAGGTCTGCTTTTCCCCCTTACATTTAGAAGGGATGAATTTATGTCATTCTTGGCAGAAGTCGCTGCCTTTAAGGATCTCTGTGTAGATGGGTTTATCATGTTAGATGCATGATTAGGTTGTGCGCAAATTCTGAAATGCATTCAGAGACACCTCATTCTTCTTCAGATTCATAGAGGTTGGAATGCACTGGACCGGGTCATAAATCACAGTGAATTATTTTTGTTTGTTTGTTTGTTTATATAAACCGTATCCAGTGGTTTGGTTATCTGTCATGACACAAGGGATCATTAGGACCTACTGAGGCCTAACTACAGTCATCATGGCCTTAAAGGTTCGTTTGATTTTGTAAATGCTATTCTTTGTTGTGAGCAAGAATAATTGTCAGAAGTGGTAGTCAAGCTTTTTTTGTGGCAGCTACATGTTAACCACTAGTTTGTGTGACTTTCTTTTGAGTTTTTTATATTATATATTCCAGGCATCATTTTTCAAGAGTTATAGACTGTCAATTCTTCCACTTAAAAGTAGCAGCATTCTTTTGCCTTCAAGAATGGTATTTAACGTTGCTTTCAATGTCCATAACGAAATGTCTCTCATTGTTAGTGTAATGTAAGGCTAAGGAAAGGTGAATGCATTCTAATCATTCAACAGTCTATTGTACAGAACAGTAAGAGGACCATTTTGTTTATCAAAAGGTGGCATGAGCAGCTGCTGTGAATGTGCCCATGTTTTGTGTTTTCTGATGCTTTGTCAACGTTTCCTTTAGGCAGGTGAACGTTGCTTCTTATATCTTCTCTGATGCTTGGATTTAGCTACTCTTTAGCCAGTTTACTCCTGAGAGGTTAAAAGAGCATTAACAGTTTTTTCTCCAAAGCCCATTAGCTTCAAAAATTCTTTGGCACATTAGTGTCTCATAACATTAAAAACCATTCAAGGTTTTTTGTGAATGTGTGGTTCTGCAACCACCTTTGTTACTTTGTGCTTAAGAGCCACCATAACCTTACAGCAAAGCATGGCTTAATCAGTTAAAACAGAGCAGAGCAGTTCAGAGCTGATGAGCCTTTTTTGGCACAGTTAGTGTCATAGTGGTATCGTTGCTTGTTAGAACACCATTCTTTTTCTTTTCAAAGCCAAAAGCCTTCTCTTTGGGATTTAATACATCTGTACAAATGTCCTGGCTTGTAACTTGGCAATATGCAATTTCTTATTGTTGTTGTTGCTGTTCTTTTATAGTTGTCTTTAAAACATTTGTGTGCAAAGGTTAGGTTTATTACATTGCATAATATATGGGCAGCTGCATTCTTCTATGTACCTATTTCTGTTTCTTATTTCTGTTTTTTTTAACTGATTTGTATTTAATGAGGTGTATTTTCCTGTCTAAAAGCTTTTGCATTTATCAAAACTGTAGTTTTAAGACATCCTATATTTCATGTACGATGAATACAAATGTTCTCCTGTAGTCTTCCATCTTAGTATGTGTGGAAATGAAAAATACAAATGATGTTCAGGATTTCAGCACAGTATATTGTAGTAGGATTCAACCTCTCCCTTAAATAATTCCAAATTAAGTACTGTCTCCTGTTCGTTCGCTTTTTGGTTTTGCTTTGTTTTTTAGTTTGTGAGATTGGACCTTACTGAAAATTCAATGCTGAAGCACTAGTCTTAAGATGTATCTGTTTAATGTTTTATTTTTTTTAAGGTGCCCAAATGCATTTTCAGTAAATTTAATATGTGGAAAACATAAGCGTCCCTTTGCTGTGAACAACTGAGGTAAAATAAAATGTTATCAACACATTTTCTGCTAAATAAATGGTATTATGATGCCCTTGGCCTTCGCTTTGGAGGTCCCGCTACTAGATACAGTTGTATGCAAAAGTTTGAGCACCTCCACTCAAATTACATCTTGTTAATTTTTGATGTGAGAATAACACATCCTCTAAATGGGGACAGACTTAAATATGGTATTTATCTGCAAATTTATGTGCATTTTAGTCCACAATTTCCATTTATTTCCTGAGTTTAACATATTGGAAAAAAATAAAACATATGAAATGTGCCATAACTTTTGTACAGGCCACAATTCATGTTTTATTTTTATTTCCCAAACATTAAATTCAGCGAATAAACAGGAGTTGTGTATTAAAATGTGCAGAGGATATGTATATACTTCAACTTTTTTTCAGCAAAATGTAATATGTCTGGTGCACCCAAACTTCAGCATGTAACTGTAATTGACTGTGCAGTGGACAGACTGAGGATGAAGATAATATTTCAGCTCAGAAGATTGGTATATAAATACAATCCAATTTTGGATCACCTCAACATTTCATATGTGAAATTATTTAAAATGAATCAACAATGGACCTGGTGATACAGCGCCCCCACAGATGGTGAAGTGATGGAAAAATGTGACCAAGCATGTGTATTTTATATATATAAAAATTGTACTGATTTACACATGGTTGGTCACATTTTTCCATCACTTCACCATCTGTGGGGGACGCTATGTATGTGTGTGTGTGTATATATATATATATATATATATATATATATATATACACGCACACACACACACACACAAAATATGTGTAGCCAATGGATAGATCTCTAATTGATGCCTCCTGGATTCCTTGTTCCTGTGCCCTCCGGCCTGTGACCCTGAAACAGATCGAAATCAGACTTCTTTAATGACATCAGTTCCTTAAATGCACTTGGAGGAATCGTGGAGCAAGGAGGGAGGAGACCTCCAGAGCAAGGATAGTGCATTCTACCTGGAAGTCTTTTTGTTGCCATGACTTAGTCCTGTGGTACTAAATCTATACCGCCACCCTTTGTCATCACTCCATATTTACTACAGTTTGTGGAATCATATTACAAAAGGATGCTTATAGTCAATAACTTGTAGAATTCCAATAAAACATGCAAATGTGAAAAGTCAGTTCATAATACAGTAAAATTTAGTTACACGTGCACATGCAAAGATGTTTTCAGTGATGTTAATTAAATCTACACCATACATGCTTTCAAGACTTCTCTGGTGGAAGTGTGTGTATCCAAAACCACATACTAATGTTCTACACGTAGACTAATAGACTAGTGGATGGATTTTTATTGCGCTTATTATTATTATTGTGCTTAGGGCCTCTTTTCCAAGCAAATGATGTTGATGATTGCGAGCGATTTGAAAGGGTATTAAAAGAGAACTTAGTCAAAACTCGGTGAAGGACGTGTCCTCCGATGATGTAAATGAATTATCTACTACTGTCATCATATCTTCATCAGAATAATGTTAATTTTGCATTTAAGACTGAAAAATCAAGCTGGACCTTCTTTTTAAGCTTGTGTGTGTATGTGCATGACATTAATTCATAAAGATGTATGACTTGGTTTAGAACCTCCCACAAAATCCACCCGACACCTCTGGCTTTTAAGTTATTATTTCAGGCTTGACAGGTTGACTTGCAGCAGCACATGCACATTATATTTTAGTGTGTTTTTTTCCCTGACCCAGTAATGCTACTTTCAGGTTTTTTTTACAAAAAAAAATACATAAATTGCACGCACTGCTGCACACTGTTGAAGTGTTTTAGTTGTCAGACACGTTAAGCCCATTGACAGCTGTGCAAAAAGTCAGTGGTCCGTCTTGTATGGTATGACTGTAATTGTGTAAGGCGGCACGGTGGCGCAGTGGGTTGCGCTGTCGCCTCACACCTGGGTTCGATTCCCGGCCGGGCGACCAGGGTCGTTTCTGTGTGGAGTTTGCATGTTCTCCCCGTGTCTGCGTGGGTTTCCTCCGGGTACTCCGGTTTCCTCCCACAGTCCAAAAACATGCAGTCAGGCCAATTGGACATGCTAAAATTGCCCCTAGGTGTGAGTGTGTGAATGTATATGTCTGTCTGTCTGCCCTGCGATGGACTGGCGACCTGTCCAGGGTGTATCCTGCCTTCCGCCCAATGACAGCTGGGATAGGCTCCAGCACCCCACTGCGACCCAGAAGGATAAGCGGTTTAGATGATGTATGTATGTATGAATAGAACTTACATAATTTTAGAAAATGATAGAGTGAGCAAAGACATCGGTAAATATGTTCGAGGTTGGTTCCTCCGACTTCTTATTTTTGCATCTCTTCCTTGAATCCTCAAGAAGGAGGAGCTAAGGTACAAGGAAGGGAAACAAAGATGCACAGTTAAAGATAAGAGTTATCTATGATGCCAAGTATCCTATCAAACTTCCAGGACCTTGGGGAAAAAAACAGCCTCATAACATCATAACATCCATCACCATACTTCACTCTGAAGATTAGCTTCTTTTCTGAATGGCTTTGAATCTCCATCTTTGGTGTTTATTGCCAAAAAGTGCTGTTTCTGTATCATTTGACTGTAAAACCCAGTTCTCATCATGTCCCACTGATATTTAGTGATCACTAACTGCTCATGTTTGTGGTTGCAAAAATAACAGATGCTTCTGCCAAGCCCTCTGTGTAGTTTGTTGACATGAAGTTTCTGTCTAATTCTACTTTTGGACGTTATGCAGCCAACTAGCTAACAACTGTGATCTTCACTGGGTGTGAGGGGCTACTCACTTTTTCCAGGCAGATTCATCTCAGCTCCCGTTTTTTGAAACATCATTGCCACTTATTTCCCTATTTGCAGAGATGGGTATTACAGGTGTGAATGTGTTTTTTATAGCCATGGCCTGATTTATAAAGGTCAACACCATTTGACTTACTTTTACAGGTACTTCCTGACTTTCCTAGTCAATGGATGACTAATTATGTTTGGCCTAGAAACCTGACCTTCTATTTCTTTTCTAAGTAAAACAGGAAGTCATGGATGATCACAGTTGCTAAAAACTCAGATGTGCTTAAAATAAAATATGAATAGGAATGTGTCAGATTGTCTAAGGGTGGCAATAACAGGTGTAATTTGGGGAACCATTATCTCTCTGAAAATCAAATGTCTCAATTTTTTCATGTAAGATCAAACTGATGCATACATATATATATATCAAAGACAATGGAATGTTCTGTATTTCATGTGTCATTATTAGCTCATCAGGGTTCATCTGAGCTTTTTGTCATTTTTCAGTAGGGTCACCAAAATGACAATCATGAAAAGATGTTTCCTTAAATAGAGATCTGTGCAATTCTGTTGATTTTGTTTTTTGTTGTACATTGTCATAGAGGACAAAGGTGAATAAACATCTCTCTTTAAACTACATCATATTTCAAGCTAGCATTCCTGCACAGTGACAGGGTTCATCATTCCCACCCAGTAGAAACATCACCAGGTGAACCATCACAGGACTTGTTTCTCCAAGCTTTGGAGTAAGTTCCATGTTTTTTTTTTGCTGGATTTGGCTAATTCAGAGCTCATGCGCTCCTCAGTACAGTCCATTCTACTGCCAGTGTTTCTAGGGCTAGTGTGGCTTTGGATTTTTATTTTCACCAAAGCAGGAGCCCACATGATCAGCTTTTGAAGCCTTAGGTTAACTGATTAAAGAAGAATTCAAGACGAATCAGGTGCACGTCTGCTTGTTCAGAATGAAAACCTGCCATTTGTGGATAAGATTGGACACCACTGACTTAGGACAACTGTGGTCCTGAAGGCCCACTGTCCTGCATGTTTTAGTGCTTTCCTATCTTTAATACACCCGCTTTAGCACAGTAAGGATTGTTAATGAGCTAATTAGTTGGGTCAGGTGTGTTGAAGCCAGCAAAAGTTCTGAAGTTTGGAGAGAAAGGAGCCTCCAGAACTAGGGTGGGGATATTATGCACCTGTAATGAGTGTATGTATATATATATATATATAAACCTTTCTTAATCTTTGATATGATAGATACATCAGTGCATTACCAACATATTCCAAATTATAATTTACAGATGACATAAGCCAGTCAGCATTAAAGATGTTGGTTCTATTTCAATTAAGAGTTTGTATAACTGGCCTGTCAGCTCCGTTAGATCTTCTGTAGTTGTTCTCGAGCAGGGGTGCTCAGTCCTGGTCATTGAGATGTACCACCCTGCTGAGTTCAGATCCATCACACCTGGCTCTATTATTCCAGTGTGTCCGAAGGCCTTCATTACCTGTATCATGTGTTTTTGATTAGGGTTGGAGTTAAACTGTGTGGTTTGGTAGATCTTCAGGACCAGGATTGAGTCTTCACGTTTATTGGAGTTATAGGGTTTCCTGTTTTGAGCTCACCAGTGTTTGTATTTATCTTGATGTATTTGATTGATTTATTATGAATTGAGCTCAATCTGAATTGAAAAAAGAACATTTTGGGTGCCCACAGTCATCAGACATTCCTCAGATATCAGTAAAAAAGTAAAAGCTGATAACCAGCAACCCATAGATGCCCTAGAACGTCACTTAGAAAAGCCAATGTAATTTTATTTATTGCATTATTATTATTATTATTATTATTATTATTATTATTATTATTATACACGTACCGTTTATTATTACTATTATCATAATTATTATTATACATGAACCGTTTATTATTATTATTATGATGATGATGATGATGATGTTTACTGGGCTACATTCATGGCTCGTGTTTACTGCGCCGTAGTAAATGTGCTCACAGCGCTGCTCCTCCTCTCTTCCTCACAGTACAACCCGGAAGCACACTTGCGCTGAGCTTTTTGTTTGTGATGATATTTCTTGTCTTCTGGCTAAACGTGACGAACATGGAGGTATGATTTGAACGCATTAAACTCAATGTAAAAGATTACCGAGGATTAATCGAATAAAACAGAGTTATTTTACTGACTCGTAATAACCACATTGTACGTTTCAGTCGAGTTAGCGAGATACAGCAGCTAACAGCTAAGTGGCTAGCAGCTCTTAGCTCGATAACTACAGTGTTGGAACCATTGATGAAAGTTAAACTAATAAATTTCATGATTGGTGGTGAGAATACGGTATTTTAACACAGTTTGATAATGTTCAGTTAGATCTAGTGAGCTTGTTATGTCAATAGGTCGCTGAAGGAAAGCTGGCAACTCTTTTAGCTGCATGTTCCGCCTTTTTAACTAGCTAAATGTCAAAGGCCGGAGGAGGAGGAGGAGGACACACCAAACATTTTAGTAAGAGCAGTAAGAGCGAAATTTGGCTGTGCATGCAGACTGTCCGCTCACTTATTACTTTTGGAAAATATGATTTTGGATGTTCACATCTAACTGTAACCCGACTAACAGATTCAGCTTCATAGTGTATCTCCTCCCAAACATGCAAGATTGTTTGTTTTTTGTAGCCATTAAGCTAGCTAACATAGGTTAGTTAGCTAGCTAGTTACATAACGCTATGTGTTACTGATTTTTACCAGTTATAACTTTTCCTTTCGATTAGGCTTCTGGACAACCAACCGAAAACCTCTGACAGTAGTAATGTGATGGACAGAGTCTGCTATTTCTGACCCAGTCTTCCCATGTGTCCACGTCAGCGGGGTCAGTTTGGTCCATGTGCCTGTCAGAAGTATTTTGCACTGTCCCGTTGTTGTTTTTGCCTGCCCTGTTGCATATTACACATTTTCATTTGCTCTCTTGCTCACTTTAGATCATATAAGACGGAATCCATGCTTTCTGATGAGCTTGACTCCAAACCCGAGGTACTGGTTCCATTGCACAGCACACATTTGCAAACTTGGTTAAAAGGAAATTCCACCAAAATTTCTGCTTAATTACATTCATAAGATGTAAACAAAGTCATTCAGAGTGGTATGATTTGAAGTGGTTCATTCTAGAGAAACGTACCAAATCAGATAGTTCACAGCAATGGTGATAGGAACCAGACGTCTGAAGGAGTAAATAGATTTAAACAGGGGTGCTCAATCCTGGTCCTGCAGAATCTAGCTGCACCTCTGATCTAACACACCTGATCCTGGTAATGAAGGCTGTCAGGGACATCTGAACATTCGAGCCAATTGTGTTGGATCTGAACTCTCCAGGGTGTCACATCGTCAGGACCAGGTTTGGGCACCCCTGCTTTAAAAGCTTCATTGCATAATTTTTACATAGAATGACTATGAACAAACTGTCTGATGTCCAGACATTGTTTTACAGTACTTCTGAAAGAAGGTTTTTAAAAAAATGCGTTCATGGTGTAGATGTACACACAGGGTATCATTAGGCAAAGTAGTATCTGAAGAAAACAGTTTTATAGTTTCAACACTGTTTTACCGTTTTCAACATTACATATAAAATCTGAAGATATGTAGCTTCACTGGTTGCTTTGGATACTAAAAAATATGACTATACATGGAAGACATTGTGAACCCTGGTTCCCATCACTATGAAAAATCTGAGTCTGTAAGTTTCTCTGCAATTAACAATTTCACATCAAAACACAATTAATTTGAATATATATTGGCAATTAAATTGTGTAGAAATTTTGAAGAAAAATGGTGGATTTTCCTTTTAAGTGTTGTAACTAAGATTTTTTGAGTTAATTTTATATGTATTATGCCTTTGCAAAGCTGCTGGTTGAGTTTGTGCAGAACGCCTCCATACCCTTGGGCCAGGGCCTGGAGGAGTCGGACTCCAAAACACCGTGTCTACCTCTCCTTGCCTCTTCTGAAAACTCCATTTGCAGCCAGCTAGACCTTCCAGGTAAAAGATTGTTGATATTTTGTTCATAATAAACAAACACTCTTAGCATCTCGGGGGTATTTCACAAAGCAGAATTCCTTTGTAAGCTGGATAACTGAAGCCAAAAGTTGAGTTTTCCTGTTGGACTGGCTTGTTTTCTTTGGCCTAATTCATCAGGCTAACTGAAAAATCCTGCTTTGTGAAACAACCCCTTCATGTCTTGATGACAAGTTGCTCTTAAACATGTTCTTATACAACTGTGTTTTTTGAATATCTATCTCAAGAGAGTACTCTTAGCCATGCAGCTTCCCCATCACTGTCAGAGTTTGGGCCAGAGCGAAGCCCCCTGGTAGTGCAACTCCAGTCTCACTCTCCAACACCAACCCCACCAACAATACTTCAGGACCTCCAGCAACCAGACAGCACCTCTTATGTCCTACTTAACCTTGCTAAAGGTATTAAATCTGCTTTGCTTTGTATATGATCAAACCAGCATTCACTGCAAAGAACCATCTGAAGAATGGTGGAGTTTGTGCTCATTCTGTAGAGAATTAAAGTTCATTTTCTTCACTTGAATGTTCCTAAAAAGCCTTTAATTCTTGAGTTAGTCCTCTCAGAAACAATGAGGACCAGACGTACTGAGCCTTCCGTGGCATGTTTTAGATGCACAGTCACCCCGAAAAGCAAGTGTTTTATGTACAAAACGGGTGTATGGGTGTAAATGTGCAGATCATGCTCAGTGGGAAGAATTATGTTTTAAGGGGGGCAGCACCTAAAATGGTTGGAGATATTAGAAATGTAATTGTACAAATTTTGCTCTGTATAATAATATCAATAAACGTATAATAAACTTTATTTATAGAACAACTTCCATACAAGTAGCACCTTTTAAAATGCTGTACAATCAAGTGATGCAATAATAATACTAATAATCATAAAAATAAAAGAGGCTATTTTCTGTATTTTACATGAGCTAAGTGCAGAAGACCAGTAGTTGCAGATCTGTCTGTTTTTGTCTTTGTCAGTGTCCTGTTTCATTTTGTAGAGGTTGTTGGGGCTTCATTACTTTATTGAGCAGCCCAGTAAACAGAGCAGTAGTCAGTTCTGTTTATAACAGTCATGGACAAGCTTTGCATCACCTTGGGATAGAAAAGGCCTGATATTAGAACAGAACGTAACTTTGGTAACCTTATTTAAATAAGGATCTAAGAACCTAAAGTTACATCCAAATTGATCTATAGAAAATGTTCAGACAGCCACTGAGATATGACACACTCCTGAAAAGCCTGTCAACAGAGTCTTGATTTTCAGAGGAAATGCGTCTCATCATAGAAAATCAGTCTCTTTTTCTGTTGACATTACCTAAATCTGTAATTTGTGATGAAAGAACTCTAAAACTCTACATGAAATGTTTTGATGAATGATTTCCCAGTGGAACCAGAAACTGTATTTGTCAAAGGCAATTTAAGTTGTTGGATCAGAATCTTGTTTGGGATTTCTGAAATAAGTTAACCTGGCAGTACTCGGTTTTGTGCTTAAGATTTTCCACCTTTTAAAACGAGTTGTAAATTAGTGTTATGGCTACTGGGAGACCTCCTTGTACCTTTTATAACCAGGGCATGGGCCAAAGATGAGTGCACTGCTGTTCTGCTCTTGAGTTTCAGTCCTAGAGCACAAAAAGCAAAGACGTTCTAAATGCTGGCTAATTTCCTGTCAAGTTGGACATGTTCCCCTGATAGGAACAGAAGAATGGTGATTAGATAGTTCCTTTTTTTTACTGTATACTAGATTCAACAAATTCATGCCAGTTGTACTTTAATCTCTGTCAGTGTCATTGCATGTCTTTTTAGGTGCATCAATGAGAATTTAGCCAAAATATCAGGTTGGATTAGTGTCTTGTTATTTAGGATAGCACTGTTTGGAATTTGTTGGCAGAGATTAATGATTATGTGTGTAGCTGTGTTGCTGTCTTTCTCTTTCTGAAGGGCTGGCAGCCTCAGCAGAGCCACTGGTGTTTGTGCAGGATGATGTGGATGAAGCGGAGGAGGAGATATCAGCGGGAGAGTGTGCTGACGGAAGTGCCCCATGGTACCTGCGGGTACAGGAGCTGGCCCATGACAGCCTGATCGCTGCCACTCGAGCCCAGCTGGCAAAAGAAGCCAGGGCTAGCAGCAACAGTAATGTCCACTAACTCATCATAACTTCAGAGAATCACTATGTTGTACAGTGATCTAGTTCAGTAGTATAAAATTTTTAGGGATAGGATAACAGTAGGATTACAGTACTTTATATTATTAAACGATTCAAATAACAGATTATTAGGGATATCCTGAACAAGTTTGATCCCCATATGAGTCAAGTAATATTGAGTATCTGCTGATACAGAATCCTGTCCAATATTGGTATTTTCATTAATAATTGAGCTGCACAATGCACATTTTCTGTGTGCATTAGTAAAAAAAAAAAATAATGCAGGTATTTAGGTATGAAGTGCCAGACTGCCAGTCACATTAAAAGCTACAGCAAATTACATTTTTAGTAGCTTATTAGACACACTTTTAGTTTGACTTTTAAGTTTGGCTGCTGCTTACTTCAAACTATAAAATCATCTAAGTTGTGGTATGTGCATGTGCAATCTGAACTGTCTTTAAAACCATGCACACAATAGACTTTTTCTCAGCTTTGCATTTACATTACTTCATAGTGCAGTACTTGGGCTAATTTATTCATGTTTTGATGAATGGTGTTCTAAATGCTGCCTTTGCTGATAATATGGCTGTTGAGCTGTTTCCACTTTTTTTTTTTTAGCACTTTCCACATTTAAATTGCCATAAATAGAGAGGGATAAATTAGCATTAATGGGTCATAATTGGATCAGTTTAATAATGCTGTTATTGATCCATTGAAATATGCCTCTTACAGATCAGAAAGGGACATCCCCACACATTCTGGTACATTTGAAGGGGATTTCAAGGGAATGCATCTTGATCTACTGCACTTTCGTTGCCAGGTGACCATATTCATAACTACCAGTCAGAGGGGCCAAAGAAGGAGGCACCGCCACGGAACAGCCGTACATCTGCAGAGAAGATCCTCAGGTGTTCTTATGAGAACTGCCATAGAACTTTTACCTGGCCTGCACATCTGAAATATCACCTAAAAACACACAGGTAGATAAAGGAAAATGTTTATTGTGTTTGTCTTGTTTAAGCTAACAGTTAATCACACTATATGTTATGGTTACCCTGTATGTTGAATCAGCTGCAGTAAGCCTTCCACAGACATCCAAGAATAATTATCAATGATGAATTATACTCAATTTACAAATTTAATTAAAAATGGGCACTTTTTACACATTATATCAGCACATTTAAAATGATTGTGTGAGCACTGCTTGGTTCTATTGTAAATGAGGGTCACTCTGATTGACATGAAGAACTTTTAAGAGCATTTTTGTGGTTTCTTCGTTCAGAAACTAGAGGGGTCTTAGGGGGTCTGATATGCCCAGTGCATTTAATGAGAAAAAGAAAAATGACTAAAAGTCATGAGCTTGACCTGATGACCTACTGCATGTAAACTGATGTGTATGGATCTGTTTCAGGAATGACCGCACATTTCGCTGTGGAGCTGAGGGCTGTGGGAAGAGCTTTTATGTACTTCAGAGACTGCAGGTGCACATGAGGACACACAATGGCGAGAAACCTTTCATCTGTAATGAAAAGAATTGTGGCAAGAAGTTTACCACTGCTGGTAATCTGAAGAACCACAAACGCACACATACTGGTAGGCATCATTCCAACACCCAGATGCTGACAACTCTGCTTTGTGTGTCATCTGTCAGCATAGATGAAGTCAAAAATACAGCTGTTAGCCAAGTGTTCAGCCCTTAACTATGATAAAGTTACAGAGTGAGTACTGCTTTTTTAAAAGTAAAAATTAATTTAAGTTTTATGCAATAATTAATTCAAAACGTGATGCTCTAACTATTAAAGGAAAAATGAGGCACAGTAAACTGGCAAAATTCCTCTGCAGGATCTACATAACTCTTAAATAAAGTTCTGTACTTCATAAAATGTTTCATTATGATCAGTTTTAAATTACAGCAATTAAAGTGAGGGAATTGTTGATAAATTCCGGATCCTGAGCATAAGAACCAATGAGAAATCAAACACAACACATCCAGTACGCATAGATTAGCTTTCACTGAATGCCACAGACTGTTTTCCAGTTGATTTACTGTTTGCTAATGAAAAAGTTCTTAAAACCTCTGTCTTGTCCAAGTTGCTATTCAGTGGCATCATGTCAACATGGTGGCATGCATAGAACAAGAAGTTTGATCTGTTTTTTCGTTTTCTGTTTCTGTTTGTGTATCGGATGCTTTTAGGTTATGATATTGTTAAAGAAGGGGTTACTTGTTGGGATGCACCAACAGGGGAAGTGTGGGCCAGTGTTAATTTTTAATGTTTTTCATGTACATACATGCCATAAACGTTTATATAATGTAGAATTTGGATTTGTATTACAGGGAAATATAGTACTTATTACTGTACAGTTATAAATGAAATAAAAGGCAGACATTTTAGTGCAGTAGCTCAGTGTACAGTATTTAGAGTACAGTATTTATCAAAATGCACATTTTCAAGTCCGTGTTTGCCATAGTAAATTGCCATAGCCTACATTCACTTTTTGAAAAAAATGAAGCACTAAATAAACAACTCTAATTCAAATATCAACCTTTTTTAAAAATATTTTAATACATGCATAGTGATGAAACAAATGATAGAGTACTCTGTCCCTTTTTCCTGATCTCAGACAGCTGTAGATACATTTGGGTAGCAAGTAGGAGATTTTGATTTGGAGAATTTGAGGTCCCATTTGTCATGAATGCAGCATAATGTTGATAGTTATAAAATTGTTGCTTTCAACTGGGGGACAAAGTTATATTGTTATTATATTATATATTATTGTGTGGTCTGCTGCTTCTTGGCTGAGGTGCCGTTGTTCCTAGAGGCTTCCATTTCACAATAATAGCACTTGCAGTTGCCTGCAGAAGATCTAGCAGGGCAGAAACTTCACAAACTGACTTATGGCAAAGGTGGCTTCCTGTGACAGTTTAAAGTCATTGATCTCTTTAGTATGACTGATTCTACTGCCATTGCTTGTCTGTGGAGATTGTGTGGCTATGTGCTTGATTATGTACATGTAAGCAATGAATGTGGCAGAAATACTTGAACTCCATAATACCATAAATAGGAGGGGTGTCCACATACTACTTGGCCATATCTACACTCCTTTTTCCTTGTAGTGAGGTCCGTTTACCATATAGGTGCACATAATAGTTCTACCATAACAGAATGTAGTCCATCGGTTTCTGTGCATAATTTGTCAGCCTCCTTTTTGTTCTAGGTGAGAAGCCTTTCCTTTGTGAAGTCGACAACTGTGGACGTTCCTTTGCAGAGTACTCCAGCCTCCGCAAACACATGCTGGTACACTCTGGTGAGCAAGAAAAATAATTAATCTAAACATAAGGAATTATATTTGCAATAAGCCTTTCAACCTTTAATATTCTAGAACCTTTACTGTCAAAAATAAACATCGTTTCAAATGGTGATACCTGTTTTTGTGTATGTATTGCGTTCAGAACCACCTGCCACTGAACAGCATTATATATTTTAATGAATTAGAGAACAGAAAGCTCAGTGTTACATCAGGTCTTACAAGCTGTGATTAGCTCTCAACTTGATTAATGCAGTTGCTTTGCATTACCAGGTGAAAAGCCCCATCAGTGCTCCATATGCGGGAAGACTTTCTCTCAGAGTGGCAGCAGAAACGTCCACATGAGGAAACGTCATGGAGAGGATGCTCTAAGTTCTGAAAGCAGAGAAACAGGTAATAAGATATCACTTTGTGCCAAGCAATATGATTACTATTGAGTCTCTAATACTATTCACTGCAATTACACCAGGCTGTTACAAGCTATTGTGAAACTCTACACATAGATAAATCACTTGAGTGCAAAAGTATCGCACAGAAGAGGAAATAGGGAAGAAATCTTAGGTTCAAGGACTTCTCACTTCATCAGATGTGGCACTGTTTTTGATTGGCAGGAGAGGCTCTGACTCACAGCAGTTTGCTGGAGGCTGATGGTGCTACCAGTGAGTCCATGGTAACTATGACGACAGTTGTGGAACCAGTTAATCTTCACCATGCTATGCTGAGGGCACAAGGTACATGCTGTCCTGCTGAACAGATTGCCTTCAGACAGTCTAATAATATGAATTGACCTGTTACCTGTGTTTTTTTTGTTCCCTTCTTTGTGCTCCAGGTCCTGCTGACCCAGTCGTGGTACTCTCTTCACCTCATGACCTAGTTACCATGACAACTGGAGGTCATAGTTATGGGGAGGATGTGGTGGCATTGCTATAGTAGTATTTGTAAATAAAGTAATTATTAAGAATTGAATTCATGTTCTTAATCTCGTCATGCTATGGTCCGTTTTATGGCCAAAGAAAAGGCTGTCATATTCTTTGTCAAAACAATTTTAATGATCTTTAAAGGCACAGACACAAATATACCTGCAAAACAAGCCACCACCATAAAGTACAGACCCACTTGAGATAAGTGAGATGCAGTTATTCTAACTGAAGGTGAACTGTTGGTAAGAGGGTACAGTAAGATATGACATTGCATTGCCTTTTCAGCATGTGCTACACAAACTATGCAATATGACTGCCGATTCAATGAGACAAGCATGAACACAGTAAACTCTGATCAAAGCTTTTCCTTAAGTAGAAGCAACAGCAACAGCACTGGATTGTGCAATTAAATAATGCAGCACATTGTTAATCTGTCTTTTCAAAAATAAGCCCAAAGAGATTTCCCTCAAAATTCCCCCAGCAGTTGTCAAATGTAGAACTAAAGTGGCTTTGTGTCTGGGACATTTGATCATTGCTGTCTGGAGAATTAAAACATCCGTTTGCATAATATTTCATCTTAAGTAAACATCTTAGTCAACCACACAACAAATATGAATTTAATTAAAAAAAAATGTCAAGGGTCCTGCAAAAACCAGCCAAAGATAAGGTACAGTTACTGGCCTTGCTGCCCTAAGAAGAGACGATGAATCACTAATTGTGATGTTTACAACATCTTAACATAAATTGTGACTGCAGACAATATGTATAAGCATAATGTTTTTTATTGAAATTTATTGAACTGTTTTTGTGATGTAACAAAAACATCTTTACATATATCCACTTATTCAGCCTACAGCAGTTTAACCCACCCATGCCGAAGTTATAAGGAATGCTGCAGCCCAGACTGCTCTTTGAAGAAAGAACAATACAGGGCAGCCCATCAGAACAGAGCCCGTTTACAAACGTCAGTTACAGTAACAACCTCTGTAATCCTTAATGTACAAAGAGATGTTGGAAAATAGTTCATAATAAAATAAAATAAAAATTCTGACTGTAAACCCACACGAAAGCAAAAATACAAGCAATATTTCTCTGAAGAGAGACACAAAGGATCAGATGGCAGTCTTGTAAGATTGAGCATGAAAATAAATGTCTTACAGCAGGACCCTCTTAAGGGGTCAAAGGCCACAAGTATCATGTGTCTGTGCTACACTAGTAGACCAATGCCATCTGTAACTGAGCCCTCCATCACATGGGTCAACTAGACTGAATTAGTTTTACTTTCTACCTTGTAGCCCCTAACTTGCAAAAACAACAATCAGACCGGCGCACATGCAGTTAGCCGTCTCTACAACGAGCGGTGCTGTCAGTCATTCCACTGAATGGGCTTTAAATTTCTCCATAGGTTCATTTCAGAACACCTGAATGCACATATGTAAACTTGCTTTTCAAGAGCATCCTAAATAAATGAAACACATGGCAGTTTCTTAGACTGCAAAAGTGAAGACTGGTTCATCAGGTAAATAAAATGAAAGTGGTTCCATAAATGCAAATGATGATCCTCATCAGGAAAGGCTGACAGGATCTCGAAGAGCTGCTCTGCATTTTCTCACAGAATTTTGATGTAATTGAAGTAACTGATAGTGGCCCCCAAAGCCCAGCTGGCTTCCACATTATTCACCTTCTTGGTCAACTATGAAGGAAAAACAGCATAGTGAGAGAACATCAGTCTTCTGAGTTAGATTGAACATTAACCAATAGTGAAAATAGCCTGTTAATAAAATACTACTTCAGATCATAACAGGACTTAATAAGCATGTAACTAATAGTCAAAATGATCACAGGAGGTCAGAACTGTCCAAATCCAACAGCCCATTTTGGCTACTTTGTCATATCTCAGTCTTTTAAATCTTACCTCCAGGACTGTGTTTTCCTTGAAGCCATAACCATCCCTCAGAAGACAGGTGATGTATGTAAGATCCATACACAGGAAGGGATGCTCTGAATTAAACATGGCTACTTTGTTGCACACTATGAAACAAAGATTATTCATCATCATTACAGTTGTACGTGAACATTTTTGACATGCCCATCTATAACCTCAATCAGGACATGTAATTGGCCAAACAGTTTTAGGATGTTTTAAGGACACTGTTACTGCAATTCTCATTTGCCTAGTCTCCTTCTTTCCTTTTAACTGATCTTGTTTTTCTTATGCCCAGCAAAGAGGGTAACTGCAAGTGAAACCAGTTTGGGCATTTCATTTGTTGCCTGTACAGCCACTAAATTTCTTCATTCACAGCACTGCTAAGCAATAACTGTAAACAATAACTTTAAAAAGTTTGTTGATGTCAGTTATCTAATATTTTATGAACAGCAACAAAACTTTCTTCTTAAAGTTCAGTGGATAAAAAAAAACATACATAGAGGCCAAAAGCTACGTTACAACATTGATGAAATGATGGAACCAAACAAAAAACATTGACAAATGAAACTTATGCAAAACTGGGTTTCTTTTGCAGGAAATGTCATCATTACAAAGAATTTTCATCACTAAAAGTGAGTTTGATGGAAACAAGCTACTGGAAAAATGGCAGATTTCTCTTTACACATTTTCATTTTATTCCTTGCAATTTTGTGTAGCAAGTCAATGGAAATGTAGCTATTGACTCCTAACGGCTGTAAGAGCCCATTAGCAACCACATCAAAATAAATGCAAAAGGATAGCTTAGTCACGCACCCTCTTTAGCTCTTTTCTTGAAGTCACGAGTCCGCACTGCTCCTCCTTGGTTTTCATCTGTAATAGGTGGGAGAAACACATTTCAACAGTTCTATCAGTTTCAGCTCAAATACACAGTAGAAGAAAATTAAAATATATGAATGAATTTATTAATTAACTTTACAACTAAGACATTAATTATTAAACTTTGTAATGACATTGCCGCATTTAAAAAAACACTGTTTTAGCTGTTCAGCAGCAGCATCAGGGCCAAAAAGCTCAACACAATCAAAACCTGCTTAATCAACATGACAAAGCACTGCTGTAAAATAACACTGCTTTGGTTTTACTTATTTCTAACTAGTATGACCGCTTAGGTTCAAGCAATCTCTTTATTGCAATTAATTTTTTAAGTCTTTTTGTGACGGCGTATAGCTTATCATAATATATAGCTAACTCTCTTACCAATGAGGCCTGCCTCAACAGCATGATCAAAGTAGTATGAGAAGGCATAGAAAACTGATCTATCTTTCAGCTCATGCGGCCGCTGTATGATCCCTTTCACCACCTTCAGCATTTCCTGGTAACAGGCCTTGTATCCAGTGTAACCTTCAAAAGGAGGAGAAGCATCAGAACAATGTTGGAAAGCAGCAGATCATATTTGTAATTTAAACGCAGTTAAAGATTTAGATAATCTTGTTTTCTCAAGAATCTGTCTTACCTTCTGGGTTTCCCCCAACTCTGTATGTCACCCCTCCAAAGCTAAATTCTCCTATGTAGTTCTTAGGCAGGCAGGCGGTTTTATAAACTTTCCATTCCTGACCTGAAACAGAACATCAGCAGCACATACTTTTGCCTGATGATCAAAGCTGAGTGCCTCACCTACTCTATTAGTCTGCAAACAAATACCCTCATTTAACAATAGCCAACCACACAAACCTGCAACATTTGCTGTACCTTCTGAGCCCAGAGCACCAATAGCAGCAATTCGAGCTTCTTTGATTCCATTCTTCGGGTAACTGGAAATGAAAAGACAAAATGCAAAGTGACACAGTCATTACTGCTTATTTTTCCCCATATGTACACACAGAAATGTAATGGAATTTTCTGCCGTTCTTATGTTTTACAAATCTTCAGCTGCGCAACTGTGTGGGTACTTCGTTGTCGTGTTTTGTGCTTCATAAAAGCTCCACACATTTTCAGTGGAAAATGGCTTGGCATTATTATGTTGAAATAAGAACGGACATCCCTGAAAAAGATGATGTCTAGATGGCAGAATGTTTATCCAAAATGTTAGTAGTGCCTTCACAGACGTTGGTTGTGTTTCTGTACCTTGTTGACATATGACTTCCGCTGTGCAAAGTAGCCTTGCATTTGTGGATGCAGTGACTAACAGTGATTACTGACAATGGTTTGTCAAAGTATTACAGAGCTCATGAGGTGATATCCATCAAAGAAGCATGCTATTTTCAATGCAGTGCCATCTGACAGATTGAAGCTCACTGGCAATTAGTTGTGGTTTTCGGCCTTGCCCTTTACGCACAGAGATTACCTGAATCTTTTGATGCTATGTGTAGAGGGTGAAATAGCTAAAATCATTGCAATCAAGAAACGCTGCTCTCTGGATTATTTGCTGACGCATTTTTGGTAAAGTGGTGAGCCTCGACCCATCCTTGCTCACAAAGAACTAGACCTTTTCTGGATGCTGTTTTTATACCCAAGCATGACTGAATCACCTGTTTTTTTTTCTTTTTTAAACATTACAATTAACAATGTTCCTAGTCTTAAACCCAACCTTTTTGGAACATGTTGCAGGCCTGAGTTTTAGAATGATCATATGTTTGCAAAAACAATTAAGTTGATACAGTAAAACATTAAATGCTTTGTCTTTGCACTGCTAGCATTTAAATACAGGCCAAAGTGGATTTATGAATCACTGCTTTCTGTTTTGATTTGTATTTCATATACTGTCCCAACTTTTTTGGAACCGAGTTTTCTAAGACATTTTAGCAAATACCTGTGAGTATACAGCACATGGGTTGTGCTAAATATACTGAATCTTGCTTTGTAATCAGCAGGGACATTTTCAATTGTTTTCTGTAAGGAAAAACAAGAGTATTTTTAAAAACTACTGTACTGGACAAAGTGATGACAAATCACTGTATTAAAAAAAAAACAAAAAAAAAACACATAAGACAAATAAAACATACTCACTTCTGACTTGGGAAGAAAGGTGATTTGAGTTGAGCCTCCACCCAAGTCTAAAATACCCACAGTCCTTTTCATGTTGGGGCCAAGATGACCTAAAATCCATTTTTCAAAAAAAGTTATTAATTTGACACCTAACTTTTCTTAATGTTAAAAATATATTGATGATCCTAATGATATGTGAACTTCGTTGCTAAGACTTGGGAGTACACTGGACAACAACGAAAACAAACAAATAGATCCTCGACAAAATCCTCACTTCTCACTTCAAGTCCAGATAACTACACAGAAGCCATCTTATTCTAGACATATTCTGAGAAGAACCAGTTAATTGGAAATAACCATTATGCTTGGAAGACTCAAAAAGTAAATGAGAAAAAGGACAACCAGCTACAAGATGGATGGATACAATCAGAGGAATCATGAACAAGCCATTCAGAAGCCTAACCACCCAAACAGAACACAGGACATTATGGAAAAACACTGTCCATATAATCGCTAGTACATGGAATCGAGTTGATGGCACTTAAAAGATATGACTTAGTGACTCAAAAGCATTGTCAAATTTTTTAAGCTTTTATGTTCTGGCCATATGTGCTGGTAAATGAACTCCTCTCTTTGACAATTACATTCCACTGGAGCGAAAAAAGAAGCACTTCAGTTACCTGTCAGAAAGTTTATAGTCAGCCAGGCAAAGATCCCTACAAAGAAATGGGAAAAAAGTATTTGATTTTAATTTATGGTTTCATTCCTCTGACGCCTGTTTTAATTAGCTGATTTTCTCTAAAGGTTTAACATTGATGTGTTTATGCATGTCTGAGGGCATTTTCTTCAGCTCTCCACACAAGCCACAGATTATCCCTCCAGACAAATAATAATAGCTTTTTGCATCCTGACAGGAGCCCGATGACATTCATTAATCTTGTCAAAATGCTGTCTCAACGAAACTCCACCACAATTTAGTTAATCCACACTTATTACATCTAAGGTGTTTAAATGACATCACTGCTTAGGCTTAAGTTCCTCGTATGGGCAGAGTCATTTTTTTAAAAACAGTCTACATGTGAAAGCAGAAACCCATACCAGTATTTAGTTTGTTTTTGTGCGTTACCTAGATGCTATCACTGTAATTTTGTTTAGCTGACCTTGCTCATGTTTGGTTTGCTGAAAGTGCTCATTTAATCAGTCATCTTCAGCACATATTTAAAGAGTAAGCATACCTTCATTTGTTCCATTCATCATGCTTACACTATCAGCAGGCACATAGAATGGAGAATCATCCAACACATCTCGAACCTGATGGAGAGAGCACACATAAAGCAAGCTTTAATAAAATTAAAAAAAAAAACCCTGACCAGCTCCTCAATGCTGAGTTAACTTCTAGACATCGCAGTGCACTCTCACCAAATGCATGATTCCATTATAGGTTTCTCACCTCTTCTAGAAGTGCATGAGCTTTTGCTGGTGGCAGATTTCTCAGTCCCGCTGTAGCCCTGAGCACCACTGGGGTTCTTTTCCATTCTACACGAGGCACTGTGTTTTTGGCAACAACTAGCAACTGTTTCAATGAGTGTCCAGCCTTCAATCACAAAAGCACATTTACACTTTATTGGTTACTTTTCACTTTTTTCTACCTAACACAAACCTATTTATGTGCCCTGGTAACATAAAAAGTGGGTGTGCTCACGTCTATTCAAAAAAAGGGCAAACAAACAAAAGATTCTGGTCTTTTAAAAGGGTGCCACGGAGCGACTAAAGCTAGAGATGCACTGCTCATGAATTGTTATGTCCGATTCAAATTTCTTTAAAGCAAAATTTGATGATTTTTATTGGACAATTTTTTTCCCTTCAATACCTGAACCTTGCTCTGTTTGGGCTAAGAGAACAGATTGCTGCTGTCGCAACAAAACCTCTCCATTTTTGTTTTTCAGTTTTTAACCTAATTAGAATATACCTGTTGCCCTTTACATTGCGTGCAAATCTCTTTTCCTGAAGTTATCATTTTGGACATATGAGGATTTGTTCTGACAACAGTACTTTCTATTAACCAAAGTCACAACACAAGTATTATTTGCTCTTTAATGGGCCAAACTGGCATTTCAAATTCTCAAAGTGAAAATCAGTTGTATAAATATCAGTTATATAAAGATAGCATCAGGTTGAGAATTGTTTAAGTGGCTGTATGCAACACAAACTTCAAAAATATGTGAAAGATTTATGTGATTGGTTTGCATTAAATGTCATGAACTCACATTTTCAGGGTTGTTAACATAGGCAGATAAACCAGGCTTTGTCGAACGGAACATTTCATTATCCAGAACAGGTAACCCCTCTAGAGAGCAAATACAACAACAGAAAAATAAGCTCAGCCTTTCACAAGAAATTAACAACAAGCCTATGGAAAAAGGTATAATTGATATCAATACTACCAATACCAATACATTCATATCATACTACCAAAAAATCTCAGTGAAATCATAGCATGTGAGACACCTGAACTTTTTTGGACGACAGCATTGTGAGACAAAGTAAAGAACACAGCTAAAACTGATTAAGCCCTCACCTGGGTCTTTTTGTATGAAGGTGTAGACGTGTATGCGTGTGCCTGTGCTCCCAGCATCAAACATGATCCCATAGAAAATGCGGCTGGCGTTGGCAGGACGAGTAACAGGGTGCAAGATGTTCCGAAAGTTTGCTGAAAAATCCAGGTCATTGCCCACATAACCCTGGGACTCAGCATCCCTTAGCAGAATCCACAAGAGGAGCAAATGCAGCGCAGGAGACATCCTCACTGAAGCCAAGCAGCACAATCTCTCTCTACCCTCAGGAAAGCTTGGAGAAAGCAAAGAGGGTTGTCATGCACACACAGTGCAGCATTGCTTATAAAAGAACAAGCATGAAGGCACACCCACGAAACTGTCATTAAGCAATTGGATGCAAACCTGGGCCCTTCTATAGTATTCATCACATAAGCAAATTCAATAATTGGACAGACTCATCTAATTCACACCTCTAGTCACACTGCTGCATGCTTGACTCATCTCTTTTTCACCTTAAATTGGAGGTGCAAAAAAAGTTTATGAAACATAATCACTACTAAAGTAATTTTCCATGTGTGAAAATTATGTATCTCTCAGCAGTGGTGTTATTTTCTCTGCTGCCTTTTTTGGTCATGCTCACCAAAGAAAGCTAATAATTCTGAATGAGGCTGTGCCTCATACTATAACATGAGTGCTCAACTTTCACATCTAGCTAATGATGATATTAAAAGACCCATTAAACCAACTACACATCATCCATAATCGACTTATTAACATAAATATCTTCATTTTGAGGGAGAGATATTTTTACCTTATTTAGACAGTGTGGAGATGTTTGCATTAATGTTTAGTACTGGCCAGTTATGTTTGCTGCAAAACAGTTACAAAGGATATGGCTGTGTTTTCACCCTGATGGAAACTTTACCTTGTAAGAACAGAAGTTATGCAAAAGAGTTTCCAAATGCCCAAAGACAGGTGGCTTATCAGTGATCAGTCACAGATAGCATACAGGTGGTTTAAACACAACACACAACTGACCTCCAATGAATATACCCAAACAGAAGGTTTGTGCACAGATAGGCAACGTTAAAGGGCGCGAGATAGTTACTGTTGGATTTGTTTTAAATCCAACAATATGCAGTTAAGCACAGTTAAATTAACCACACGTAAAATCTGAACATAAATAAGTGTCAAAGTTGAGGGAAAAGTCTTTTGCTTGACTTTATGAAATATGAATGTAGATGTGTTCACTGTGTCACACTATGTACAGCTGGAAAAAGTAAAAGATGTACTGTAGCAATTTAAATTAAGAGCTGCCAAATTCCTCCCGTTCATCAACCGAACTGAATCATATTTCAAATTGAAAACATTATAAACTGTAATTTGCAATAAGCAGTTGATGATCAAACTGAATGATTTTTGGTTCATAGACTATATCTTTAACCAACAGTTATTGGTTGAATAGATATCACACTATTGACACAACAAACATTAATTTATCATGGCATAACGGAAACATATTAAAAATTAAGTTCTTCCATTGCAGCATTCCTCAACAAGTTCCTGGCAGTCAAAATCATCACGTTGGTCAATCTGTCAATTTCAACAGCACCTTAGTAAAGCTGTCATTTTCAACATGACGTAGGTCAATCTAACTATATTATACCTCAGATTCAAAACATTATAGAATGATACTTTCCAAAAAGTAGTCTAGAAAATCAACAGATGAGTTCAGTGTCTTGAGACCACACTGTGCACACACCAAATTTAGAAAGGTCTGGGAAGAACTAGATAAGTCTGGGAATAATTTTCAATAACCACCATGGAATTAATAAGTAGAATTTATCATTTTTTCTTTCCATTTTATATGTGCGTGTGCCGGTCCTCTATCCAGAATTACAGTCCTGATTTTACTTCATTCACAGCAGTGAGTGAACGTCACGTTGGTGTGCTGCTACACAGGGAAATGCCACCAGAAACAGCATTTATTTTTTCTTAATTATGGTATAACGTTTAGTCATCATGAGGTCTTTTCATGGCCAGTCGATTTTATGGATTTTACGCACTGACATCTACACATCGTGTCTGGTGTGCATTTTTTTTTACCTAACGCTGAGAATGTGGGAAGAAGACGCAGAGGTCAAAGAAGTGAACTAGTCACAACAACAAAGTTATTATTTTATCAAAGATGTAAACATGCAACACAGCAGCACTGCATGTGCAGGTGTCTAGTGGAGCTCAAGGCTCTGCTTCAGCTCGAAGTGCTGAGCATTAAAACAGTGTTCACTGTCGCTTCACTCTAAAGGGACAGGTGGACACAAACCATGCCCGCAAAATGCCCCCCACAACATAACAGAGCCACCAGATTCCCTCACTGTGGGGGTCAAGTACTTAGGCCTGTACTGTTCTCTGGGGGTACTCCGCACCCACCGGGGAGAAAGCAGTGACCCATCTGACCATATCCCTATTTTACGCATTTCTTTACACTAGTGCTGATGGTCTCTGCATCACTGAACTCTCAAATGCGTATTTTGTCTTTGTAATTAGGGGCTCATTCATCACAACCCTGCTATAATATCCCTCTCTGTGTACTTCTATTCATCCTGACACAGTCTGGTCACGTCACTGACATTCTTAGTCACCAGAGAAAACAGCTGCTCTTCTGTCTCTTACACATCACACTAACGCACAAGCATCACAGGGGCAGAATGTGAGCGTTTAACCACAGTTTCCATCCCTGTTTACTGATGTTTTTCCCATAGATCTAATTCCAGATGGCATTTTGGTCACTGTTCCTATGGAAACTCAAGTCAGTTGATGAATCTCTGTGACTGGAACTTCTGCCATCTGTGCCCCAATAATGCCTTTCTTTCAAAGGCACTTAAATCTTCCTCTTGCCATCCACAGGTGCCTGTGCTTGTCCAGCATTTTTATACAGGTCACAGAGCATGGTAGGATGTCAAGTGCAATAACTGTATCATGCAGTATAGTTAATCAGTCCGGAGGCACTGCACTCGTTAAGTCAGGGTCTCCTCACTCGTCTGTATGTCTACATATAGTCACTGTTTGAACCACAGACTGTATTGAACACGCTGTTAATTTTACCGCCAAGTATGTAATAGCTGCGCACAAAGGTTGTACTAAAATTGTTTTTCATCACTCTTTTACACGAAATGTGGCTGCCTTCACCTCGGTTTTAGGTGAGATGCTCATGGGTTTGCTTATTAGGCAGAAAAATATCATCAGGCGATTATCGTAAATTTGCATGTAAGCAAATTACGAATACCACAAAGTGTTTTTCATGCGCTCTTACCTCCACATACCTTTCACAGTCAGCAAAACCGTGATGGGGCAGGTGTCAGCTAAAACTTCTAATTTTCTTGGTGGCTAGGCGTCTCACGTCTCCTCGTCCACATATCATCTTTGGTTTGGATGAGATGTTGCCCGTGGCTGCTACCTAGTTAGGAAGCACGACACCCAGTTATCAGCACCCAACAGACTTTCTCTTCCCTCACAAGAAGCTGCTGAAGTGTCGAGTTTTCTACGAGCCGGCGCTGATTGTGGGTGAAAGGAGACAATAATCAACGTTAGTGGTTTACAAATCATATAAATTACGTCATTATGCTGATCCAAATAATACACGTCACTATGTTGGTTAGCCAGCTAGCCGGTGCTGCTGATTAACGCATAGTAAACTAGTACGAGTTTAGTGTATGCTACTGCTAACTTATCTAGCTAAATGTTTTTATAGTTTGCCTGCCGCCGTCAACTAACATTACAATATATTACAGCTAAGATAACTACCAAACTCCGGTTTTCATCCATTCTCGCTGTCCAAACCAGTTCGGTAATAAAACAGAAGTTTTATGCCGTTGTTATCTAAGCTAGTCAGATACACAGCAGAGCAAACCGGTGAAATAACCCTATCACAACTCATTTGTAATTTGACCGACAGACTCGGCTGATTCGTGATTCGCTGATTCGTGAGCGGACCTCGTCCCGCCCACTCGCTCAGGCTGCCGACAGAAATTATTTAATGTATGTCTATGACTATCTAATAAAATGTTCTTAGCATGTAGTCATTATTGCTGTTGTTGTTTGAGTTCATATAAATCCATTAGAGTTTGATACATAGTAAGAAACATAAAGAAACAGTGACGCCCTTAAGCCCAATGGAATTCTGGGAAATGTTGTTCTTTTGTAAAGTCAACGTTAACAGCTAATTCAAACGACTATTTCAACATTCCCGGACTCCTTCCACGACTAATAAAGGATTTTAATGATTTAGTTTGTTTTATGTGAAAAGCATTGCACCACAAAAATAGGCTACAGTCTCAGGTAGCCTAGTGCTCATTAACGAAAATAGCCTGCTCCTCCATAACTGTGACTCAAGTGGCTGCAACCTAATAGGACTATAAAGTATGCTACTGCCATGTTAACTAGCTGGGGCAGAACATTAGAGTGGGAGTTTATGAGTTTTAGGTGATCAAAAAGATCATAATTTGGCCAGACTGAGTAGTTCCAGCGTTTCAGATTCTGGAGCCTTCCTGGTGGGATTTTCATATATGGTCTCTGAACTGTACAGACAATGATGTGCTGAGAAACTTTCCTTCATGCTGTACACTGCACTTTACACAAATACTTTGCACACTTTTCTTACATTTACAAATGTGTATATGTATGGTAGAAATCAGGTATGTATGTCCATGTGAGTGCACAAGTGTGAGATTTATTTCTATTGTGAGCTACTGAGTAACTATAGATCATTATTCCTTGTCTTGCACCCAATAAAGCCTTATTCTGGTTCTGAATCTGATTCTGAGTGATTTCTGATTCTGTAAACAGCGATTCTGTGGCCATGAACAGCTTGTTAATGACAGTGGGGGAACAGCCAGACTGATTCAAGCTAACAAAAAGACCATAAATTCTCAACAGCTTTCAACAGTGATGTGCAGGGAGGCACCCTGAGTGCACTGAACACTGAAATGGATGGACTGCTATAATTAAAAAACATTTTGGTTTCCTCATGTGTCAGATAACACTACAGTGGTCATGTTATCACCAAAAGTAGCGTAATACACATAACTGTGTTACGTAATAAGGATACAAGGAAACATAACTGCAATCCGTTACAGTTACTGTAAAAGAGACAGTCAGATTACAGGTACATTCTAAAAAATGGATGACTACCAGCAGGATTACATTCAAACCACATACTTGAAATTTGTTGTTTTTAATGATAAACTTGTCACATTTAAAGAGTTTTTAACTTGGGGAAGAGAAATGGAGGAGGCCTCTGCTGCCAGGAGAGATTTCTGAAGAATCCCCCTCCCCAGCAACAGTCCACAGTCTTTTATGCAGCAAGTCAACAGAATGTTTAGTATTTTAACTGTCAGAACTGAGATCTGCAGCATTATGAAGTTATCTGAACCAGTTATTTAACTCTTTTACACATCGCCAGATTCTACAGCAGCAAACTAATCTGATCTGGACGTGAACTGTTTCATTCTCTTTTGTTGCTCCTTGAAATTGTACAGAGCCCTGCTGGTGACATCCTGTATAAAGAAAAATAATACGTGGCACTACATAAATCGTACATAAGTCATCCTAATCTGAGGTCATGACTTAGTAAGGTATGGGAACAAGATCATTTAGTCATGGCCACGACTTAGTAAGGCACAGGAATGCGATCATGCCTTATTAAGCTGTGGCCAAGGCTTAATGATCTCATTCCCACGACTTACTAAGTTGTGGCCACACATTATTTTTACATCTCCCATAGTAATAATAACAATAAGAAGAAGAAGAATACAAAGCTTGTTTGCCTCTCAGAAGCTCAGTTTTCACAATGGAGATATAATTCATGAAATAAATTAAATAGTATATTCAGGATAAAACTTGCATTTACTAAAAGGCTTATAGAAGACCTGCACAACTAGTAAGTATATCAAGTCAATAGAAACCCTCAGGTGCATAAATATGTTTAACAAATACATACACTATATGGCCAAAGGAGTACACCTCTCCTATTATTGATTTCAGGTGTTTCAGCCACACCCATTGCTAACAAGTGTATAAAATCAAGCACCTGGCCATGCAATCTCCATAGACAAACACTGGCGATAGAATGCTTTGTTCTGAGAAGCCTAGTGACTTTAATCGTAGAACCACCATTGGATGCCACTTTTGCCACAAGTCAGTTTATGAAAAATTTCCATTCTGCTAGATCTGCCCCAGTCAACTGTAAGTGCTATTATTGTGAAATGGAAGTGTCAGCACCTTAGTTCTAGTGAAGGGTAATCTTAATGCAACAGCATACAAAGACATTTTAGACAATGATATGCTTCCAAATTTATGGCAGCAGTTTAGGGAAGGCCCTTTCCTGTTCCAGCATAACTGCAACTGCTGTACACAAAGTGAGGTCCATAAAGACACTGGCATGTTTGGTGTGGAGGAACTTCAGTGGCCTGACCTGAACCTCAGTGAACACCTTTGCGATGACTTGGAATGTCAGTTGTGAGCCAGGCTTTCTCATCCAACACCAGTGCCTGACATCACGAATGTACTTTTGACTAAATGGGCTCAAATTCCCACAGACACATTCCAATTTTTGTTGAAAGCCCTTCCAGAAGAATGGAGGCTGTTATAGCCGCAAAGAGGGGGCAATGGCATATCAATGCCCATGGTTTTGGAATTAGATGTTCAGCAAGCTCATATAGGTGTGATGTTCAGATGTCCACTCACTTTTAACCAGATACTGTAGCTTATAAGGACCATTACAGCTTAACTGGGTTTCCTCCTAATATTAAATATATTATTAAAGTGCACATTCATCTTTGTTCTGTGAAAATTAAAGCAAAGTATTAAGGCCAAGTTGTTCTTTGTGCAGAGTAATAATGTTTGTTCATAATGATCCACACATGGGGGAAGAATAGCCACAACCGCTGTGGTTCTATAAGCGTCCCATGGTTGGCATAGTAACAGCTCTTATGAGTTTGGCATCTTCTTCTTTCCACTCTGAGGAAAATATAATGAAAAGAAAATGACAATCATCTTTAGGGGGCATACCCAATGAAAGAATAATAGACTAGCAAAGGTTTTTTTAAAGTGCTTCTTCAAAGTTGTGTTTATTTATATTTATTTTACATTCATAATCCTTGTTTTACACTTTGTTTTTCACAGAAAAGAAGTCTTGCATTTGTTCTAGCATTGGTTTCTATTCCTATTGTTTTCTATTGTTTGTTTTTTTATGTATTTCACAAACATTGCCTTGTATTCATGTTTACTGTCAACGCAGACATCTAAGGACTTTAATGAAGCACATTACTCACGCTTACCTTCTGTCTCCTGTGTCTCTGGTCTCCTGGGAAACCCCATAAAACAGGAGTTTCCAAAAATGGTTTTAAAAAAAATTATTAAAAGACATAGAGAAATGGGACCAATCGTGGCATCAGATAAACAGCACTCAAAGCTTTTATCTTTGAGATATATGAGAAAATCAAGCTCCACTCTTACTTGAGATCTGAAAAAATCCACAGGTCTTTCCATCCATCCTTCCACTGTGAGAAGACAACTCAACACTTTGAGTTTGAAAGGATGTGTAGCTGTCAAAGAAGCCAAAAGAAGCAGAGAAGCACAAAGTGCAACTTCTAAGACTGAACTTTGGAGGTGTGGAAAAATATCCCTGCAGATTTGTTTGAAAAATTTTGGCTCCTTCAGTTTTGTACTGGAGCTACGAGGCTAATGTAGCTATTGGAAATCTATGTCACCCATGTGACTTTTCAATTAATCATTCCTTTTAAATTCTTAAATACTATGTTTAGTTAGCCCTTAACTAGCAAATGGCTAGTTAACTAGTTAAGCAGCCTACATACTTAACAGGACATTATAATGTTTTTAATGAGCTTGATAAGTCATTCTCCCTACAAAAATCACAACTGAACTTGCTTATGCAGTAGATAAAGTAGTTATCTAAAGTTAAACAGTAATAGTAATACTTTATTTCTAGATGGAAGTTTACTAGCTGGCCATTTGTGGAACCATTGTTTGTTCATCCCACACAATTCTATTCTAAAACATTATGACCACCTCTTGTTTCTACGCTCATTGTCCATTTTATCAGCTCCACTTACTATATAGGTGCACTTTGTAGTTCTACAATTACAGACTGTAGTCCATCTGTTTCTCTGCATACTTTGTTAGCCCCCTTTTACCCTGTTCTTCAGTGGTCAGGACCCCCGTGGACCCTCACAGAGCAGGTACTATTTGTGTCCACTCACTGTCCACTCTATTAGACACTCATACCTTGTCAGTCCACCTTGTAGATGTAAAGTCAGAGACGATAGCTCATCTGCTGCTGCACAGTTTATGTTGGTCATGCTCTAGTCCTTCATCAGTGGTCACAGGACGCTGCCCACAGGACACTGTTGGCTGGATATTTTTGGTTGGTGGACTATTCTCAGTCCAGCAGTGACACTGAGGTGTTTAAAAACTCCAGCAGCATTGCTGTGTCTGATCCACTCAGACCAGCGCAACACACACTAACACACCACCACCAAATCAGTATTACTGCAGTGCTGAGAATGATCCACCACCCAAATAGTACCTGCTCTGTGAGGGTCCATGGGGTCCATAGAACTACAAAGTGCACATATATAGTAAGTGGAGCTGATAAACTGGACAATGAGCGTAGAAACAAGGACATAATGTTATGCCTGATCGGTGTATGTATATATATATATATATATATATATATATATATATATATATATATACCGATCCACCATAACATCAACACTACCTCTACTCATTGTCCTTTTTATTACCTTTAGTTCTACAATTACAGATGACAGTAGTCCATCTTTTTCTCTGCTTAGAAAGATACTTAGACATACACTACAGGTCAATTTGCTCTTGTTTTATTCCTTTAACGCATGGTCTCTACATGTGTGATCAGATCTGTAAATGTGTAATAAAAGTGATATTTAAGGGGAAAAAAATCACAATTCATGTTTTTCTGGGACATAAAAACATCTCTAAAATATTTACTACATTTGTGATCTCTAAACCACAGTTGTTGCTGAGATGAATTGAGAGCTAAAAGAGTCTGTTACCGTCAGTATGTTTCAGAGCTCCACACACTCAGTTTTGTGTTAAGACACAATCAAGAACATGGAAATATTAAACCACAGCGCAACAGCACAGAAAATGCTCTTCAGTGCTCTGAGATGGCTGCAGGCTTTGGCGGAATGTAGAGCAGGTGTTTGACTGCAACACTGAAAAAATAAACGATAATTTGAATAACTCGTGTCAAGCAGCTGCACATGAATAAAAAGCGTTTCATCAGCACAGTCACTGCCCAAAAAAAGACTTGGTGCAATATATTTTATTAATGTGCAACCACGTGACATTAGAACTGCACTAATCCAAACGAACACATTTTGTCAGTGTCTGTTTAAACTGAAATTAGGTTGTTAACCGCAGTTCAGCTGTTGTGGTTCATGAGGTTTAACACGCCGTTCTGTCTCACTTCTCTGGCGAACTTGAAAAAGCGCCTCTGATTGGTTGGAATGTTCCCATGGTAACGGAAACAAAGCAAAAATGGCGTTCCTTCAGTGGAGTTGCCAGGACGTGGCGAAATGGATAGAGTCTCTCGGATATCCCCAATATACGGTAAAATACTCTTGTGTTCAAATGTACTCAAGATATTAGACTGTTACGTCTCCTGCTGTATTAGCTACCAAAACTGCTGTGATACTTAGGCTGCGTCCTAAACCACATAATAACACACTATATGCAGTGTCAGGAGAAAGAGTACTTTCCCACAGAGTACAAACATAAAAGTTAGCTAGCTACCCTCAAAGCTACAACATGGTTCTTAAGGCCCAGTGGGGTTAAATGAGTTTGAAAGGTGCACTACATTCACTTTTTAAAATATAAAAATAAAATAAAAAGCCTGGAGTCAAGTATGGAGACACTGTAACTTAGAACTGAAATTGAATATAAAATAGTACAAGTTACAAGCCCCTTAACTAAAGGTGCCAAAGGTACCCTTAGAGCAGGGGCAATTCTAAGATCAGAGCTTTAGAGGTGACCAATGAGACCATCTAACTATTTGTGGTTTTTATATTCTTGCTATCTGTACTGACTGTGGTGTTTTTGAAATGTGTAAGATTTTGATGCTTTTCAAACAAAACGAATCATTTTCAAACAAGTTACCGAATATTCAAGCTTTTTTTTGTTGCACTACACCGGGGGGGGCCCAAACCTTTTGTTTTGGTGGGTCAAAGTTCAATGTTTGGGGTGGGCCAACACGATTTGGTACTAAAATCCTTGGAAATAAATTTTAGAAAATAAGAATTTAAGTTTTATTTCAAGGTAAAGTGTACTTGAGAATCTATCTAATCCAAAACAAAATAAGAAATAAAAAAAGATTTACTCCCAAATTAGACTTTTTAAGTATATTCATAGAGGATAAGTGTACTTCTTTGAAAATGCACAGATTTAAGAAGATGATATCACAGTCAGAATAAGGCACTCATGCCAAGCTCGTGGCACAATAACTGTCCTGCTGTTACGACTGTATTGGGTGTACCCTGTATGTGGTTTTGGATGCAGCTGTAGTCTTTCCTAGTCTATGTCACATAATCATTAGCTTGTAATACATGAGGAAAAAAAGAAAATCAATGTGTGAAAACGAAATGAAATCATATTTTATGCTTTAGTTCACAATTAGATGGAGCATTATTTTGACCCCATTAGGGGTTAAAGATGACCAAGGTAATCCATTGTTTTAAAATGTAGGACAAATCACAGTAATTTGAAATAGGCTAGAGCCAGTGTCTCCCCTCTCCTTTTAAAGATGTGGTCTGGACAGCTTTCCTTTAATAACGCTTTGTCATCATTGTCCAGTTATGCTTTGCTAGCATCACGTGGGAAAGAAACTGCTCTGCTTTCCATGCCCATCAGCAATCTCTGCTCCTTCCATACAGTCTTAAAACACTGTGAAATAGAGACATCATCCTACAGTGTAAAGGCATTAAAACAGATGTGAACAATAAAGCCTCTGTGGTTACAGTTACTTCCTTTCAGTATGAGAGACCTCTTTTAAATTACGTTTTATGGTTTGGTTGGTCTAGCCTTTCTCCTCCAAGGAACAAAAAAGAGCCAATACCCTATGTTTGTACTGATTAATTGGAGCAATAACCTGTGTGAAATTATGTGTTTTAACTTATATTTTAATTATTTAAATTGCTCACAGGCATGCTTCACTGAGAATCTCATCACAGGCAAAAAGCTGATTTATGTAAACTGCCGTTACTTGCCACAGTTAGGAATCACTGACTTCGAACATATGAAGGTAAGAAAGAGACAATATGGGCTGTTAAAATTTACAGCATTTCCAGTCTTTCTGAACATGTTCTATTGATTTTTCCTTTCCAACATTTTTCCAGAGGATGTTTTTCGGTCAAGGTTAAGTGAAACATGAGGATATGGAAATACAAGAAAGCAGTGTTTTAAAGCTTCTACATGTAGGGTTAAATGCATTGTGGTTTAAAATAGCCTTTTTCCTTTCGTGGCATGCATTTGCTGTTACTTGAAATTGAACAGTCAACTCTGTATGATGAGCTTTTTCTGTTTAGTCTGTCTACTTATGACATTTGGGATAAAACACGCTAGCACATTTTTATCGGTTTCCTAGAACTTTTAGGAAGTTTAGAACTTATGGAGACACATTTTGACCGGTTAAGTAAAATCTTAGAAAAATCACAGAATACATTTAAAGGCTACTTTCATACATGTGGTACCTTTAACATTTAGTACACTTTAACCTTTTAGAAGTATTATAAACCACAGTTATTTCTTCTGCAGGCTATCTCAGATCATGTCAGAGAGCTGCTGGGTGTCTCTGAGCCTCTCTGGAGTCGCAGTATTGCAGATCCTCCACGGGATGATATGGGGATGTTCCTAGAAATGAAGAGCAGAACAGGAGACAGGGCTGATAACCTTACTTACGCTCACTTTCTCAATAACCGGAAGAAGTAAACAACTGTTGATGAAGTTCAATAAAAAAACTAAATGGTATAAAAACTTTTTCATTTTTTGAATATTAAACAGCTGTACAAAGTTTGATGGAATGTTCATTTCCACAATTCTACATGCACAATTCTACACAATGGAAATCAAACATACTATTGGTTAATATTATTTTGTCCCACCTACTGGTGCATGGTGGTGTAATCAAAACTCAGAAGATGTTTTAGAGGTGGCAAAAGTCATTATCCTGTTTGTATGACCAGGCAATGAACTAACAAAGTGAAAACAGTGACATTAAGTAATTGAGAATGGGTATCATATCATACATTTTCCAATGTATTTTTTCCTTTGAGGTCCACTTATGATGTTTGTGTTTTTATGTACCAACAAACATTCATATTTTACATGACCATTTTCCAACCTCTTGTTTTCCCCTTCAGAATTAAATGTTATTGTGCGTGATATCATATGTAAATTCCCTTTGTTCTGATTGGCCTATATCTTGCCTGATTTTAAGAAACTGTCCAGGCTGAAACACTCTTTAAAACTTCAGTGTGAATGGGTGTGGCTAAACTGCTGCAGGCTAAATAGGTGGATATATGTAAATACAATTGTTATTGTGGCATCACCAAAAAAAAAGGATTAAGAAGGAGCTGTTGAAGCTTAGGTTTCATAAATGGACTGTAGTGGACTGAGGTCCAGTACATTTTGAATTTTTATGCTATTGTGTGTGTGTGTGTGTGTGTGTGTATATATATATATATATATATATATATATATATATATGTGTGTGTGTGTGTATATATATATATATATATATATATACACACACACACATTTGTGTGGTGGGGGGTGCTTTTTTCCAACTCATTCATCACTGGACCTGCGAAAAACCGCCCTATGTTTTTTTTTCTCTTAAAGTGCAATAACTGTAACTTTGCATTTATCCTAAAGTAAGGGTAACGAGATGCATTGCATTTCTAGAGCCTTACTGCCATCCAGCAGGCAGCACAAATGCATGGATTAATGAAGTTCCCCCTGATAGTGCCATTTAATCTCTCCTTCCTGAAGCAGATTCGGTTGAGCTTAATGCAGATGCCTAAGTGGTCCCATTAGCGTTCATGCAGAAGACACGGGGATGATGAGGGGCCCTCCTGCAGACGCCCTTAGCAGTATCCCAGATCAGCCACGCTTCACCTGATGGCCCTCAGACAACGACGGCAATGAACAAAAGCGAGAAGAAGCAGAAGCAGAAGCAGGGCGTTCTGGTTGGACCAGTGGAGAAATGAAGCTTTTCGAAGCCGCGCTCTGAACCATGCACGTCCACCTGCAGTCTGTACTGCGCCACAGCAGCAGAGGAGGGGTGTGAAGTGGAAGCCCTACGGATGGGACACCTGCTCCATCCTCCTCGCCTGACACCACTGGAGGCCATATTTGGGGCGGGTGAGCGGTGGAGTGATGTAGGGGCAGACATGTGCGTGCTGGGATGAAGCGAGCGCCGGCGTTCCCTGAGAGAGAAACAGACAGGCGAGCAGCTGCAGCGGCGCGGACTGAGTTGAGGGCTTTCTGAAGGCGCCTTCTTCTCAGTGGGATTGCTTAGAGGGCTCCTTTCGCTTGTTCTCTTCTCTTCGCTTCTCCTCTCCTCTGCTCTCCTGCAGCCATGGGCATCTTGAAGGACGTGCGCGCACGCGGAACGCATCGGCGTTTTCTTTGACCATCATCGCCCCTCTTTATCTATCTGGGTCATCCGAAAGGGGCTTCGAGCAGGTGGATGGACTGGGCGAAAAATGCAGTGACTCGCGAGGAGGGAAACGAAGGCTTTTCGGCGTGAAGCAAGGCTCATCTCTCCCCAAGGTACATTTTTATAAGGCGTTGCAGCTTAGTGCTTTCCTGCTGCCCGTTGCTGCTGGGAAAGATTTTTGCTCGGGTGGAGGATTTTTTTCTTTCAGGCTGCCCATGTTGGTATTAAGAGGGCGAAAAAAGAACGACCAGCATATCTGCTTAGCCTAGAAAGATTGTAGTCTTGCAGAGATGCACTGCAAGGTCACAAAATTCCTCCCTTTACCTGAAGAAAGCGCGATTGAAATGTAGGATGCCACCGTGGCTTGAATGCCAAGTGGTCTCCTACACTCCAACGTCCGAGTTTTAGCTATGAATGGATTATATGGCATCCAATTAAGCTTCATTATTAGCACTAAGCCCATTTGAAGACCATAATCTAGTGTATTTATTAATTTGTTCAGTACCAGCTGGATGTTCCTCCACCATAGCAAGAGAAAGTAGGCTATGGCTCCAACCTAACCTTGGTCTTGAGCTGCAAGCAGAGTCTCCTGCTCTTTTCTCTCAAGACATTGAGGCTGTGATGACTTCCTCATTAAGAGGGATCAATATTTTATGCACAGATGTGATGCTTGGCTTCTTATGTTGCTGTGTGTGACAGCAGATTGTGAGATTTGCATAGATGGAAGGTTTTTTATTCTGGCTATAATGCAGATATCTCGTGTTATATAGCTGTGCCTTAAATTAATATATGCGTATACCATGTCCAGTCTGTAATTTTATAAAATTACGCCCCAAATGGTGCTTGTTTAGTAGAGAACAGATGATGGTACTGTGAAAGCAAGGGATGCAGCTGGGGAGGGATATGGTGAAAGCAATAGGGAGCAAGATATTGTGTCGATTGCACTTCAGCTCTCCAGTTGCACAGGTCGTGTAAGCGGTGATACCTCTTCAGATGCATGCCACCAGGCTCACCTGATCATGGTGAGGTCCTGCATTCAGCCATCTGCAGGTGGGTCGTCCAAATTCATAGGGTATATGGCTGAAGTACCTGTTTCTAGCGCTGAGAGAGATAGACTGCATCACAGCTGACGTTAGTGCATGTTACATGTTCAGCAGAAAAAGCAGTGGCTCATGCAGGGTGTGATAGACCAGGGTGATTAGGGCTTCCTTTTGTACGCAAATAAGATGCTAACGAGGAATGAATATGGATTTAGTGGCTTGGTTTTTTGTGACAACGTTTGTGAGCAAGTGGTCGCCAGTGCTCCATTAGCCATAAACTCTCACTGCCTCAACGACCAGACGATTCATGAAAATGCCCTTTAAATAAGAAGCTTGGCAGCAATCCATTTTTCTAACAACCGTCCCTGAAAGGCCCGGTGGCGTTTGTGTCTGCAGTTTCCCATTGAATCTTTTATGTTTAATCTGCTGGCTGGGGGGGCTGGATGCAGTCAGTCAATACAGAGAAAATCATACATCTTTGCTCTTATGGCTCAGAAGCAACCACATAGCAAAGGAATCAGCAGAAACCGTCTTTTACAGTCCGATAACCCAAAGTGTCTGACTGCTGCAGTCTAAAACCTGATCCCAGATGACCCTGATACATGACAGCGTGGTGCAGGGCAGAGGCTGTCTGAAAGGAGGAGGCTATCTAAAAGGAGGGGTCAGATATAATAGCCCTGAAGTTGTGAGAATGTTTCTCATAGCTGGTTTTAAATTTATCACATGAATAAACGTAAAAGACCACAACAGTAAAAAGATTGAATAGTATGCAAAGCATCAAATAGTATACAGAGATTGATTGATGTTTAGCAGTCATTTCCCGTTTCTCGCTGTTTTTCTGAACTGCACTCATGCTCTGGGTCGTGTGCTTCCAAAAAAAGGAAAAGGAAAAAAATCCTGAGAGATGCCTTCATGCTGTCCTTTTCACGTTTGACTGAATCTTAGACAAGGAAAAAAAAAGACTCCTCTGCTCTGAGCAAATCGATGCAGTGTTTCAGTGGGGGGAAGTAGCAGGTCCACTTCAGCCCAGTGAAAATCCAAAAGCTATGCCAGCTAAAGCAGCCAGCTGGTTGGCACGCATCTCCGGTGGCAGTTGCTCAATAAAGTGGCACGATCTGGAGGGCATTTGACATGCTAAAAGATTGTCATAATCAGCCCATTAAACAATTACATGACAGGTCAGCTTCTCACTTCATGGGGCGAATTATATCACCATCAGGTCACATGTATTGCTTCAAAGAAACGTGCACTAACACCTCCTCTGCTTTCCCAGTACCCGCTCAGAACGTTTCTAAATTTATAGAGGTAGGCTTTTCTAAAAGGAGCCAGGTGGCCTGAGTTGTAGAGGAAGCTTCTAAAGTACATACATGCCTGATTTTTTGTTTTTTCCATTGTTAGAATGTTTTTTTTATGGCGTTATTCCTTTTGTGTTCTTTATGCTACTTATTCTCTTATCATAAAGCTGTATAATATGGCTAATATTCATTGTTAGATGTTCATAGCTTTCCTGCATGGCCTAGTTGCCCATAGCGCTGGTGTCATTTCAGTCAGTTGCATTGCTTTCCTGGGCAGTAGAGTGGTCGCTCATGATCATAATCATGATACATGACAGTTATTATTTCATAAGCCCAAAGTCAGGCTGAGACACTCTGAGCATTTGTAAAGACAGCGAAAGAGTTATTTCCCTTGATGGCACTTGACATACTTAGATATTCAGATTTAAAAGATGTGGCTCTCTGAAGATTCAAATACCAGGAGTAGCAAAAAACTGATCTGCTGAAAAATTAATGCATTCAGTGTATTTGTACAGAGCATGTGGGAATTAGAGGATTCTTCATCTCAGAAAAGAGAGCAAGATGAAAATAAAAGGCAGCTGGTTACATTTTTAATGTATATATACAGTCATATGCAAAAGTTTGGGCACCCGTGGTCAAATGACATGTTTCGTTGATTTTCCAGCTTAACACATCCTCTTCATGTTTTACATTTAATTTTTTTCCAATGTGTTAAACTTATCAAATAAAGAGAAATTGTGTTAACTTATTTTCACTTAGAAAAGAAGAGTATTTAAACTTTTCCATTTGATGTACATATATATATATATATATATATATATATATATACATAGAGAGAAAGAGGGCGAGAGAGAGTTGTGCCAAATTAAGTCTTGTGTATATCAGCCCTTCAGTCTTATGAACATTCTAAATCTTAGGTTATATTAAATGTTATACCCTTGTCAAGGGTATATCTCTGCAAGTGGCTGAATTTATCTCTCATCCTCTCTTTGCTATTTTATAGTAAGTAACTTGAGCGGCAGTGAAGCACTATGGAAAATCAATATGAGCAGAACAACGTCTCCCTCCTGACATGGCATCTGCGCTGATCCCTTCCCTTTGTCTCCACATGATCTTTGGAGGCATCAGCGTAATTTTGATGAGTAACTAGATGGCCAGACGAGTCTTTCATCCCTTTATACGCAAAGATGAAAGGCTAAGCATTATCATATCAAAACCCTGCATCAGTGCAGCAGGGGCTTTAGTATATCTGCCCCCAGACAGGTTTTGTGCATCCTTGATTCATAAAGTGTCAGATTTCTTGACACTTTATGAGTTATGACAAAAGATGTTTACGGTACTTAAGAATGGTGTGGGACATTAAGTGAGTCCTTGCAAAAGAATGGCAAGTGCTTCACCGGAGCCGTAACCCTGTCATAAGAGATTAGGAAATGATCTTTTGCACATCAGAGTTGCTTTTATAGCTCTGCCATGCTCTATTTATTTGATAGGCTTGAAATTCCACACTGAGAAACTTCTGGCTCTTTTGTCTTCGCAGGTGTGTTATCACAACAGTGAATCCAGATGGAGACTCTATTTGTTTACTTGGTGGTCATTATCATGGCAGTAAAAGCCCAGAAGATCCAAATATGTCCCAAACGTTGCATTTGTCAGGTGCTGTCTCCTAACCTGGCCACATTATGTGATAAAAAGGGGCTGCTTTTTGTGCCCCCGAACATTGACAGACACACCGTTGAACTGCGGCTAGGTGACAATTTTATAACAAACATCAAACGGAGGGACTTTGCCAACATGACCAAGCTTGTAGACCTAACTCTCTCCAGGAACACCATTGGCTCTGTTGCACCCCATGCTTTCAACGACCTGGAGAACCTGCGTGCCCTGCACTTGGACAGTAATCGTCTTACACGCATCACGAACGACACTTTTAGCGGCATGTCTAAGCTCCACCATCTCATTCTGAACAACAACCAGCTCACTTACATCCACATAGGAGCCTTTAATGACCTCTTGGCCCTTGAAGAGCTTGACCTCTCCTACAACAATCTCGAGAGTGTTCCATGGGTGGCCATCCAGCGCATGATCAACCTCCACACTTTAAGCCTGGACCATAACATGATTGATTATATTCCAGAGGGGACGTTTTCAGGACTTTTGAAGCTCAAGCGGCTAGATGTCACCTCCAACAAGCTACAGAAGCTTCCACCTGATCCAGTCTTCCAACGAGCAGGTGTTTTGGTCACCTCGGGCATTTTTGGCCCAACGTCCTTTGCGCTGAGTTTCGGAGGGAACCCACTGCGCTGTAATTGCGAGTTGCTGTGGTTGAGGAGATTGCGGCGCGAGGATGACCTGGAAACTTGCGCAGCTCCCCAGCACCTTTCTGGACGCTACTTCTGGACCGTGTCTGAGGAGGAGTTCCTGTGTGAGCCTCCCCTCATTACACGTCATTCACAAGAGACCAGGGCACTGGAGGGCCAGCACGTTACCCTGCGCTGCAAAGCTCGTGGTGATCCAGATCCTGTCATTCACTGGATTGCCCCTGATGGTAGGCTAGTGTCCAACTCAAGCAGGACAGTGGTCCACAGTGATGGGACGCTAGATATCCTAATCAGCACCGTGAAGGATTCAGGTTCGTTCACCTGTGTGGCATCCAACCCATCTGGAGAGGCTCAGCAGACTGTTGAGTTGCTTATTACCAAACTACCACATTTCACAAATGACACAAGCCTGGTACAGGAGCCTGACCCTGGCTCCTCAGACATTGCTACGTCCACCAGGATGGGTGGAGATGGCAGCCCTGCTATTGCAAACACCAAAGCTGGACAAGAAAAGCGGGTGCTGATCTCTGAAATCACATCCTCCTCGGCCCTGGTGAAGTTCAGCCTTCAGCGGAATATCCCAGGGATTCGGATGTTCCAAATCCAGTACAATGGAACCTATGATGACTCTCTGGTGTACAGGTAATTTATTTCTATGAACTGTTCTCTATTTTGACATTTGCATGATTTCAAATACCATGACAGTGTATAATCATTCTTTGTCTTTCACAACAAGTACATAAAAAAACAGTTAGGTTCTAAGTACACCCTCCGTTGGAACTGATAGCATTTTTGGAAGCAATATGCTGCGTGTGGGCGATGAGTATGCAGAACAAAGTGATAGAAACGAGACTCTGATTAAAACATAATGTAGAGTTGTGAGTTGGCAGAAAGAAGAAACACAATTCTTATCAACTTAAGTAGTCTTCAAAGAGGCCTCCCTTGTTCCTTAAGCAGCTTCAATGACTGCACAGTCTATGGAAATGATGGTGGAAGGAAGGAGGAGTGTGAACTCAGCAGCAGTACTCTAAACAGACTGCAGAGGTTAAGTGGCTCATGAAAGGAGACCTTCAAAAGGGCCTTGAGTTTTATCCACACCAGCAGGGAACTTTTGGGCCATGGACCAAAGGCGTTTGATTAGTAGTCAGATATGTTTTATGCTTTGCGCAGCTTCAGATGAGTGTCGTAGTGAGCCTTACTTTCAGGGTAATGGGAAATGTTTCCCATAGACAGCAAGAGTTAGGAGGCGAGAGTAAGCTTAAACTCTAAGCTTATTATTTTACTACTATGATTTTTTATCTACTTCTATAAAACTAAACTTTGAAGTATGTACTTATGAGAGAGAGAAAAGAAAGTCTGTTCCAATTGACGGGTCTTTAGAGTCTTATTATCCAGTTATTAATACTAAGACTTAAAATAATATCTAACTACTGTAAAACTAATATTTAAGCTATGTACTTATAAGTGAAAGAAAGGATAATGTGGATCAACCAACAGTCTTATTATCCAGTTATTGATGCTAAGGCTTAAAATATCATGTAACTACCATAAACTGAGCAATAACTCCTGTGAAATTCATATATAAGGCATGTAGTTAAGAGAGTGATGAAGGTAAGTCTGTATGTGCCAACGAGTCCTTAGCATTTAAAGTAGAATTCTGCTGATTTTTTTTTATTTCTGATGATTCAGTTGTTGCGATGTAAACAAAGCCACTCAAAGTTATTTGATGTGCATGCTAGAGAAAGATACAGACTCAGATTTCTTTATAGTGCAAAATGAAAGGCACCAGGGGTCACAATATCTAAATAAAGCCATTTTATTTACCTCCACCATGACCAGTGAACCTATACTTGTCTTCTGAGTTTGTATATGTAATGTTGATGAAAGATGTAGTTTTATGTAAGTGTGTAGAGCAATGAATTTGGGTACTATTTTACCTTAGTGTGTGCACCATTCCACAATTATAAGATTTTAAAAAATAAGGGCAAACTATAGGTGGGTGATAAGGAAAAGCCAGCATGATATTTAAAGAAATTTTCACAGTACGTATGATGACGTAATGATACGCACCATGATACTTTGACACAGACAAAATGCGCTAGTAGTGTCACATTCAAAAATGGCTATCAAAACTATGAATCCATTGATTGTTATTCAACATTTTACACACTGTGCTGCACTAGTTTCAATGAAACAGGACTAATTATGCTCTCTTTATCATGAAACATGCACAGAACAGTTGGTCAGTGTTCCTTAAGTACTAAAGATATCCATTATATGCTCAGAAATGCATCTTGAGTATGACGATAACAAAAATGGTCATGATTATAACAAAACTTCCATCATATTGGCCACCCCTATCCAAAACCTTCTGTCCAAACTATCATACATCAATTCATCAGGCAGCATATTCATAGTCATTTCAAGTAATAACATCCTGTGCAGTAACGTAGATGCATTAAATGCTTCAGACATCTGGTTCCTATCACTACCATTGCAAACAATTCTGACTCAGTAGAGCAGTGCATTTCACATCAAACCACTCTGAATGATTTTGTTTACATCTTAAAGATTTAATTATACAGAAGTTTAAAAAACTCAGTGAAATTCTCATTTAAGGGATTCACACAAGAGTGCTGCTCATTTCCTGATGTGTCTTTGCAGAATGATCCCTCCAACCAGTAAAACCATCCTGGTCAACAACTTAGCAGCCGGGACATTGTATGACCTCTGCGTGCTAGCAATTTATGATGACGCAATCACCACTCTCACGGCTACGCGGGTGGTGGGGTGTGTTCACTTCTCCACGGAGCCCCAGTACCTTCGTTGCCACTTCATGCAGTCCCAGTTCCTCGGAGGCACGATCGTCGTCATCATCGGGGGTGTCATCGTGGCCTCTGTCTTGTCTTTCATCATTTTCCTCATCGTGCGCTACCGGGTTTGCAACCAGGAGGGAGTGGACAAGGGAGTGGAGCTGGGAGACATGCACTCTCAGTCCAGGAGTGAGCAGTTGCAAGGCTGTGGGATCATCAAGTCCATGTCCAAGCAGGTTCTGGGCTCAGAGAGGGACTCCTGCCGAAAGGTATCGCCCCAAATGGAGGCAGCTCCTTCTCCAGCACCAGCCGCAGCTCCCCCTCCTGTGCCTCGGCCGCCACCCAAACCCAGCCTTCCTGACTGCACTGTGACTACCTCTGCCGCCAGCCATAGCTGGCATCCTGCCTCGCCCAACACCCGACGACCAGCGCACACCACCACCCCAAAACCCGGCATGCCGCATAAGCAGGACGCACAGGTCAGCATGGAGCTTGACAACAGCAACAAAAACAACTCGACCAAGACCCGTCCTAAATCCGCCCAAATCCGGGCCTACTCCACCATGGTGACCCCGGCTTCCAGGAGAGCACAGCTAGAATCCTTGCACAACTACATGACTGTTCCGGTGGGGTGCGCGAGAGTGAGCCGCAGGCACTCTCTGAATGTAGACTCCTGTAAACAGCCGAGTTACATGACTTACCAGCAGCAGACCGGCAGCCTGCGGTCCAAACGCAGCCTGTCCATGAGTGGCGGAGATCTGCCCCAGCTGGACACTTCAGGCAGACTCCACGGGAAGGACTCTCTGTCCAGGTCAGAGTGGGTTCTAGAAAGCACACTATAATGATGATTTTTTTTTGTAATCTTGCAATGGTGGATTTTGGTGGACTTACAGATCCTATTATGATCTGATGTCTTATAGCTCAGACTGCAAACCTTTTGGACAAAAAAAGTCTTCAGTTTCCACCTTGGACGTGGCACTCTTATATTGTGTGGGAAAAAAAGGTAACACAACGGACTGGTAAATGCCAATGTTTTTTAAGCACAAGAAAAATACCATTTTCTGCATATCCTAAAATAATCCCATTGACATGTATATTACTTTGTTATATGGAATAATACATATGGTACATCGTGTACAAACATGTTACATTGTGTAAAATAAAATGTGAAAAGTCTATTTGTTTTCATCTGATATTTAAACGATTTTGCTTACCGTAAAATGTATTTGAGATTGTTTATAATTGGAATTAAGATATGCAGTATATTATTTATTGAATATCCACAATTATTTGCTAACACTTTAGAGACTGACTCTACAATCAGTATTGTTGGGCAATCAGGCATGCTTACTACTTGGTCAGGGATCCTTCAGTAAATCTATATGTAACAGAGTAATCAATCATTTGACTATTACAGTGGTTATTTAATGTCAACTCATTGTATTTATATTTTTGAACAAGAAACTGTCTTCTGAGATGTTACGTTTCTGTGCATTTTCAATTAGCAAAGTTTAATCTCCCTATTTACAGTTCTGATGTCCTCTTTAGGGGTTGAGTTATTGAGCTGTGTCTGTCACATGAGATCCATTGCCAGGTCCTGAGGTTGCAGACTACATGACAGACATCGATACATCAGAGCATGTAACAAAAGAGCGATCAGAAAGCTGCCACGAGATTCAATACTCTTTAATTCTGATGTTATCTCCAGAGGTGGGCTTATGCTCTTGCTCTCTGCCTGGGCAGAGGTAATATAGTTCATGAAGTGGAATATCTCATGGCTGAATAAGCCTGCAGCAGTGAAGGTTGTGTGGTAATTATTTTTAGAAGTGTTAATCCTCGTCTCCCTCGGAGGCACGGAGTAGGAGAGGGGATCTCTCGCAAGCCTTGCCTTCTCCGAGCTCCTCTGTTTGTTCAAAGGAATGGCAAGAAGGCAATGAAAGAGGCCATTCTAGTCCCAGGAGCTTCTGCTCCCCTCCCCTTCCCTCCAGCCCTCATACTTACACAAGCAGCTGCCCTTAAATTTCACACAAGAAAGAGAGCCAGAGAGCCTGCCTCCACCCTAGTGCAGATGGCATTCATCAATGGGCCATCCATGAGGTAGATAAACCTATATAGGTATATAGGTAGTTATATATGTAAAAGTATATATACAGTACTGTGCACAAGTAAGAGAGCACCCTTTTATTCTACAGCAAGCTAATAATGCCAAGCACCCTGCTGGGAAGATCAAGAAGGCCATGAAGTACACGTTATTCATTTTTCAGCATCAGGATTTAGTGTCTATGTATCAGTTATGTCCACTCTGCCTTTATTACAGTTTCCATTCTTTTCTGGAGACATGCTTTTAGTTTTTCAGAGACGTGTGCAGGGATATTCTTCTGTCTCCCGAGTTCAGCCGTAGAAGTTGGTTGTGCTTTTTGCTTCTCACAATCTAAGAAATCACGAACGGATTCAATGATGTTGAGGTCTGAGCACTGAGGTAGCCGGCAAGTCATCCAGAGATCACCAGCACCGTCGCTAAGTACGAATTGATCTTCTCAGCCGCTGCTTGGGGTCGTTATTTTGCTGGAGAATGAATTTCTTTCCAATCAAATGTTTTCCAGAAGGTATTTAAAGATGTATTAACATTTGTTTGTACTTATCAGCATTCACGCCTTCAGTCAAAAACAAATGACCGACTCCAGTTGTTGTACATTCCCAAAACTGCACTGATCCTCCACCATGCTTGACTGATTGTTGTAGACATGGTTTTTCATTTTGGCAGCATATGTGCATCCTTCTGTTACTTCCAAAGGTCTCAAATTTGCACCCATAAAACTACACCAAATGTCTAGTTTCCATGTTTTAATGCAAATTGTATTCTTTTTTGTCTATTTCCTTTTCTCAGTAATGATTTCTGAACAGTTACACATCCTTTCAGACATAGTGTTGAGTTGTCTTCTCACAGTGGAAGGATGGACAGAAACACCTGGGGATTTTTTCAGATCTGAAACAAGAGCTCGATTTTTAAAAAATGCCCTATTTAATTGACAACGCTTTTCCACGGAGATGTGTTTAGCTGAACACAGCAATGGGCAAACCTTAAAGTAGTTGAGTTCATTCAATAAAAGGAGAGTCTGGATACTTCTGGAAATATAGTGTATATAGCTATAAACTATATTAGAGTAACTATTTTGTTGCCTTGGGTAAAAGAAAGGCCCTGTTTATTATTAACAGGTACAGTGACCAGTTGCGAGGTATTTACTATGAATCATCATCATCATCATCATCATAACATGCTTGTCACATGGTTTCAACCATCTGGATTCTTGGACAGTGCTGCAAAAAGGAATGGTTACTTTTTGCACATCTCAGCCAGTCAGCTTATTTACACTAGAATATCCCAGTACTATCATTATACAGTTATGTGCAAAAGTTTGGGCACCCCTTGTCAAATAACATTTTGTTGAAAAAGTGAAAGTTTAACACATCCTCTACAGAGAACACACTTCTGCACATTTTAATACACAATTACTGCTTATTTGCTGAATTTAGCACATCGGAAAAAAGTAAAATATAAAAAGGTGGCAGGTATAAAGGTTATTGCACATTTAATATGTTATGTTTTTACCTGATACGTTGAATTCAGCAAATAAGTAGAAATAGTGCTCTAAAATTGACAAAAAATGCCATATTTAAGTTGCAGAAGATTTATTAATGTGTTTTCACTTAGAAAATCAACAAATCATGTAATTAGATTAGGGGCATTCAAACTTTTGCATTCAACTATATAGATCTTTCTGACCCAGTCATGAGCAGTTACTGCTGATTCTCCACTTGCGTCTTTACCAGTGGCTTTCATAGTAAAACAGATTTATGTTTTAATATTTTCCTACATATAACACTAGAGAGACAAAGGGCAGTTTTCATTTGAGCAAGCCAGCTGTGACGCTTTATGGACAGATGAATGCAACCGTTCTTTATGGTGTCAAACAGATGAGGACATTAAACTGAGATGATGACAGCTGTACTGTCAATTAATCACTGATTAATTCATGCACACCAAGAGGGCAAGGTTGTCCTTCTTTCTGCTCATTATCGATATTCTAAAGCTGCAAAGTTTCGCACGCTATGTGGCAGTCTCTAGAGGGTCCCGTAAGGGCACATAAATTAAAGATGAGTATCTGTGGCAAGAGCATCTCTTGAAATGCAACGAGGAGCTCCTTAGCTCTTGGGCTACGTTGCAGTCAGCTGTGGATAAACAGAGCTGGCCGTGTTTGCAAAGGGTCAATAATGACTACTCCTGCCATATGGTGCATTGCTACTTCAGCGCTGATCTGCTGAGGCCAAGATAATAAGAGTTTGGGTTTAATTCCCCTCATATAGGAGAGGAGTCAACCACTTCAGAGCCTCTTGAAGCTCTACAAGCTCTTTCTGCCATCTTCATTTCCTCACTCTCACTCTGCAGCCAAGGCTATTGCAGCTGTAGGCTGTATTCACTTTTTAAACAGGTACAATTACCAGTTGCCAGGTATTTTCTTCAGATGATCTTCATCATAATAATATGTTTGTCCTTTGATTTCAGCTATCTGGATTTTTTTGACAATGCTGCAGAAATGGTTAATGGTTATTTTTTGTATGGCTCAACTATTTAGCTCCCTCAAACCAGAAGATAAAAATAAAGGTGCCAAAAAGGGTGAGACAATAAAGGAACCACATTCAATTCTCTAAAGGAACTTTCAATGGATGGTCCTTTAAGGAACTCTTTTTGTAAATGAGATGTGCAAGTGTGAAGTTTAAAGACCCTCCACATATTGTATAGATTCTATATCAAGCGTTTTTCCTAGAGCTGTATGTCTAACTCAATAACCATTTGGGAATCTTCACCCAGCAGGGAATCCATACTTTGTAGTTTCTGCCAAAAGTTTTACAATTTCATACTTTTCTGTGAATGAGGTAAGGTACACTATGGGCCTGTTTCCCAGATCCAGATTAAGCTTAATCATAGACTAAAAAGAATTTCTAATAGAGATATCCGCCACCGGCACTTCAATTTATTCTATGTCTAGGCCTAGTCCTTGTCTTGGAAACCAGCCCTATATGTCCAAAAGTTTGACACCTGCTTATTTAATGTTTGTTCTAAAAATAAGAGTTTTTTTTATAAGGATTTTAATTGCCTTTGCTGCAGTAAAACCTCTGCTCTTCTGGGATGACTGTACACTAGATGTTGGAACATTGCTGTGAGGATTTGATTGCATTCAGCCATGAGAGCACTAGTGAGGTCAGGTACTGATGTTGGATGATTAGTTCTGGTATTGGATGGTGCTCCATCACGCTAGACAACACAGTTCCACTGCTCCACAGCCCAATACAGGGGGGCTTTATACCCCTCTAGCTGATGCATGGTATAACATGGTGACCTTAGGCTCATACGCCATTGCTCCAGAGAATCTCATACTATCAGCAATGCTTTTCTATGGTGATTAAACATGCTGTGAGTGTGCACCTGAACACCTGTACTGAAGAGCCATGGGTCTACATTTATGCGCTGAAAGGAGTGTCTGGATACTTTTGGACCTTTTGGACTTATGTATAAGTTGATGTATGTTTAAGTGGATTTTTTTCATTCTCATACACCAAGTTTTTAAACACTATGAAAGAATGAAAAAAACAGTCCATCACATGTGATTACTCTCCTGCCATATCAAGAGCCCAGACTTTGTCTTTTTTCATTATTCATTATCCAATTAAATGTCCACAAAGAGAGCAGAAAATAAATGTGTTTGAAGTGACTGATGCTACACCAAATAACTGGACTTTGCATACCTGTGGAAAGAGATTATAAACAGAATTATAATAAAATGTATGCGC